TAAATTAGAAAAAAAATGGTGGAACTCAGCAGCCAATCAGCCCAGTCCGGTCCAGAATAATCATCTCTGGTAGGTAAATAAATGTGTGGAAATAAGTGTTAAAGTGATTCACCTGGCTAATGAGCAAATATTCCCAAATGTGTAAAACACAATAAAGAGAATCAGGCCTATCTTGGGGATGAACAGGCAGCACACTCCCTAAAGCACAGGAGAAATAAAAACTGTTTACATACTGAACAAGAATACATGTACATACTAATTTTAGCTCAGACAGACAGACAGCTTCACATTTCACGTGTTGGGCTGTGATATTCATAAAGACTGCATTCCTCCTCTTGCATTCCTCAAAGCTGGTCAGACCTGAGACACAGCTCAGTTCAGCCTCCACTCCCACTGAGCTCTGCTCCAGGAAGCTGAACATGACTTTTAACTTCTTTTCCGAACAGTTCTTTTAGTGTAAAAGTTTTAAAACCATATCAGATCATACTGACCAGAATGCTGCAGCCCACTCCGATGGCTAGACAAACTACGAAGCCTTTCACCCGGGTCCCCCATCCCAGAGTGGATGCTTCATTCGCTGCCTGACAGTGAGAGAGAGAGACCACCACAGATCCCGAATAAAGATCACACTCACTCAGAGCTTTAGGTAGAACAGCGTACCAACTCAATGGCGAATAAAGCCACAGTTGAAAAGTACAGACTAATAACGTCCATTAGTCCAGACAAACAGATGGAGATAAACACAGGATAATAACAAAGAAGGGAAACTAAGAAGGGAATCTCTTCACCTGGAGAATGTTACGGTTGTCATTGTTTCCTTCTCGACCATTCACAAAAGCCCTTAGTTTATCCATGGGCTTCCACTCTCACTGCTGAGGGAGTCCGGTGGAGGCTGGATTTGTTTGAGTTTGTCAGTGAAGAGCTCTCTCGGGTCCACCGGCAGGTGAATCTTCCCACAAAAACTTCACCTGAAAACACCGCAAAGGGTCGTTTCTCATATACATAGCGCCACACGGTGGTGACTGTCGTGTTTCACAAGTGGTTCACCGTTAGCACACGCAGGGACGCGGAAAGGTGTTTTAAGTCGGTGGTGCTGAACTTTTAAGCGGCGTATATGTGACGTGACCGGTGACGTCACGCAGAATTATTGATTGATTGATTGATTGTTTGAATGATTGATCGCTACAATGAGGTCTGAGATAACAATATATAAATATAGCCTGACACGCATCAAGTCGCTGACGCACACCATCTCTCTGCTCTCTCGTTCTGGACGAGCTTTATGTAAATGAACTGAGCGACGACCAATCAGGTTGTTGATATGTGGAGCGGTAATCGATTGTCACGCCAATAGGCACGCGGTGAGCTTAAACACGAAACGAAGAGATAGGGAGATATAACGGTTGATAAAACGATTTTATAATGATAGATTATTATTTTTGAGTTTGAAAAACAATAAAATGCTGCTTTGGGGTTCAGAACTGGCCTGTAACTCTACATAGACGTTCTCTCTTCGCAGCTCAACCTGCGTGTGTTTGAGAAACACGGCCCCTAACCGGCCAGCAGTGTTCAGCTCACTGTACTGAAAATACGGCGTTCACTTAAACAAAGCACGAAAACTGCAGGCTTTGAAAATCTAAAAATACAAACTCCGCTCTAAAACAAGCTGATTATTACTATTAGTTTGAACAGTGACAGTCCTCAGCTATAGTGCACACTTTCGCGTCTGTGTGCACTATAGTGCTGTCCTGCACATTTTAGTGATTTCCTGCTTTAGCACACCCACTTTAACTCAATAATAGGCTATTAGTGAGCTGATTAGTTAGATCAGGTGTATTGGAGGCAGGGAAAACACTAAAAAACGCAGGCTAGTGGGCCTCCTGGACCAGGGTTGAGAAACACTGCACTATAGGACCCTTGGACTCTGTCACCACCAAAAAAATCTGAGTCATTGAGTTTCTCTACAACTCCACATCAGACCACCCAGGGAGGCTTAGTTTACATTTCAAAAACTGAATCAAGCAGCATTTCTGGAAAGATTATTAAAAGCATTTCCACTTCCAGAAACGTGTTTGTATATAATATTTAAAGACTCTGTCCCTCAGTTTGGTGATTTCTTGCACTGATATACCTATTAAGCTGGTTATTGAAGGAGAATTCCAACGATTTTTCAAAATTTTTGCATAGTTCTGTTGTTGCAAAGTAAAAAAAAGTCATTCAGCATGCTTTGATGTAAAATGGATTGTTGTAGAAAACCTTACAGATTTAGATTTCTTTACAGTGGTTGTGATAGAAACCGGGGTAACAACATCTACAAGACAAATATAGACATTTTATTTATAATTCAAAACCACCAATGAACCTGCAAGTCTTCTAAGTTTTATATGTAATGCTTATGATGTTAAAATCTGAAAAAATAAGTTTTCTTTTGGGATTCTTTTGCCATACAATGCCATGCATGTACCCCTTCCACTATGAACAGATAAAAATAAATGGATTAACAAGATGTTTTAGGCCAAAACTAATATCAGGGATTATAACCATTTCATGTAATAACTTTCTGTAAGGGAGCTTTTAATCATGTAGAAAATTAAAAAAAAGAGTTCCCCTTTAACATGAATCAGGCATGTTAGAGCAGGAAAATCACCAAACTGTTTTAGACTCCAGCCTTCAGGACCAGTGTAATGCTAAAGTCTAGTATGTCCTCGAAGAGCAGAGGCCTTGCAACAAAATGTAACATTCAGTTTGGGGCAAATACGATGGCACCTTAAGTACACGCCTCTAAAAAATATCATGCATTGAATTTAATTCATTCAAATATACGAACCTCATTTGCAGGCAAATATACTTATTTACAAAAGAAAGTAAATGAATAGGCAGAATTGTGTTGATGTAATGTATTTTATCATTGCTAAAGCAGAATTCCATCTTTCTACATAATTCAATAAATAAAATCATTCAGATTTGTTTCATGTGAAACCAGGGGTCACAATGTCTACAATGCAAATACAGCCAATGTATTTAATATCCAAAACAACTTTTTTGGGGGGGACTATTTTGCCCTATAACACCCTGCAAGTACTTCTCCACTATGAATGGATTTTTAGATACTAGTTTAAGGCCAAAAGCTTATTTCAAAACTTGTAAAACAATGTCTCAGACGTCATGATATTAGCAATTTCATATAATGTCAATGTGTGCTGTAGATTTTAGAAGCATTAAATGATTTGGACGTCTGGTTCCCATTATCACCAATGTAAACAATTCTGGCTTGGCAAATTTCTTCAGAAAGGAACATTTCACATTAAACTGCTCTAAATGACTTCGTTTACACCTTAGCCACAATTATTTATGCAGAAAGTTTATAAACTTGATAGAATTCCCCTTTAAGTGCCATCAAGTTGGTTTCCACTCCTGGTAACCATGTGGACAGTGTTTCTCCAGAATATCCTGTCTGCTGTTTGGGTCTTTAAGCTTCTTAATGATGATGATTCCTCGATTGTCTCCATCCATCTTTTTGCTGGCTGCCCTCTTTCTTGTTACTTTCAACTGTACATTTTAAGATCTTTTCCAGCGCCTCCATTCTTGTTCTGTGGAAATGCTGTGCTCATTGAATCAAGAAGATTAAATGCTTTCCTTTTTCTCAGTGTAGGAGTTGGTCTGCACAGCGGCAGATTTTTTCAGACACACACTGCAAACCTCTTGATCCACTTCTTTTCAAACTTACTCCAGTAAATTGAGACCTGGGATTGCGCAGGACACTGAAGTAATCTGAAGACACTGTCTGGTTTTGGTTCTTGCTTGGAGTTCATGTTCTTTAATGAGTGAAACAGTATGGTCTTGTACTGCTGTAGTCCATGTCATTATCAAGGATCAGTATGTTGTATGTTTAGGAATGCCTTTCTGCACACCACTGCTGTAAAGAGCTCTTACTCTTTGGTCCTCTGTGTTGACCATTTTCCTTTTGCCTCTCATTGACACAATGTTTTTTCACCCGCAGCACTGTTGCTCCATAAACTCTTTAATCCTCAAACTTGCAAGAAGCCTGCAGTTTCTAAAAGGTTGGGACAATTATATTCACATAAAGTTCAGACAGATCATATGATATGTGTAATAATTACAGTACCATAATGTTTGGTCCAGCAACAACTAAGCCACCATGGCTGCGTCCAAACTCCCATACTAGCATAATACCTAGTAATTAGTACACCACCATTAGCAGTGTGTTTGTTAGTATAGTGTGTATAGTAAAGTAGTATGTGGTTTTGGATGCAGTCCATGTCCGCATGGTGTTTTATATATTGAGTTGCGGCCAAATTTGGAGGCGTGTGTGATTTGCATTAATGAGCAGGTGTTACTAATAGAAAAAAATCGAAGTATTTTCACATCTTTTTAAGACCTCAACACTGTTTCCACAGCAAAACAAAGCACATCAACTCAAATGTGGCATTAATGTCTATTTTATTCCAACAGATTAGTTTAAAATCAAACACAGACGTACGATTTGGAATTTGCATGATTTTTGCACAGCCTTTTTAGGGTATTTGACTTTGCAGTCACTTTATGACCAACATTATAGAACTGAATACTTACAACAGTAAAAAATAAGAGATTTTATTACCTTTATTACCTTTTTATAACTAAAGAGTTATGCTCCTGATATTTTCTCCATGGCCATTGAGAATATGTCAGGAACAGACACTGGCATGTTAAGGAGGCTGATTAATGGAGAGCGTTAGTGTTTTTTTAATACTGATTTGCTGCTGGCGTCACCCATTTGATAAATACAGCGAATAGCTCTACTCACAATCCATTTTCACACTCGACATGTTTTCATCAACACAGCTACTACAAAATATCAAGTTATCAAAGACAATGTTTAATAATAGAGATCTGTTTCTTGGATAAACTAATACATCACATGCATGATAAAAAAGATCCAAAAAGATCAAATACATACATAATACTTATGATAAATATAAAAGAGCAATTTCAAAATGTTGAAATGTGCATTACGTTTAATACATATACTAAGGCATGTTCGAAGCAATAAATACATAATATGCTGTAATTCAAGGCTTCTCCAAGATTGCACAGTTTCCTCAATAAGACTACAAAGCTATAGCACTGGCAGTAGAATCGTCTTCCACTTACCAACTAACCTCTGAATTTCCTAGTGAAATAATTTACCTTGTAATATGGATTAAACTGCTATATGGATCCAGAGCTAAAGTCACATCAGCAGCAGCCAAACCCCATTGTGTGTTTTATTGCCTACAAAAGTGAGTATGATCAAAAATTCACCTCAGCAATCTGCAACCCTGAATCCACAGATCACAAAAAAAGACTCCACAGCTGTGCAGGTCAGCAAAGGCCACCACTTACACTAAAAGCCTAATGAGCTCTTTCCTTGAATGTCAAAGGCACTAATGATGTCATTATCAAAAATTTCTGTTAGAGTCACAAGGTGCAAATATATGTATCAAAGAATAACAATACATATACAGTATAAAGTTCATATATATGAACTAAAGAAATCAATAATTCATTTTCATGGCTTCCTGTACTAAAAATGGCAAACACGAAAATATCAAGCTTTTTTGTCTTGGCTTGTTTGCCCCAGAGAGTCAATAAATACAAACAGAGAAAATAAAGAGCGACAATTAAAAGACACACATGGTGAGGCGATTTTGTTTAAACATAAAATAAACCATAAATGGACAAAAACATCATGGCAGTAATAGCCGGAGATGAACTGAAGGTCACCAGTACTTGCCTCCAGCCCCTCACTGTAGTGACCTGAGAAAGGCCCACTAAGTGAAGACTGTCAGTGTTACATCATGCAATTCTGCAGGACTAGCTTGCAAGCTTGTCTTCACTGAAAATAAAGGCCGAAGGTTGTATATGGACACCAACTACTTATAAAACTTCATCTTCAGAATCTCCTTCTCTTTCCCGTGGTTTCAGGAGACCCATCTCCATCGGTGGCATTCTTCTGAGTTTAGAACGTACCGCACTGGGGAAGAAAATACTGATATCATTGACTGGGTAAACAGGGCTCTGACTCTTAAAGGAACACCTCTGCGAAAAATTAGACACTTCATCCTTGCCACAAAGGGTCAGCCAAGTGTTTGGTGAATAAAGTGTGCTTCCTTGGTTTTGTACTTTATTAGTTATGAGGCTAATGTAGCTAACAAGTAGTTGAAGCTTCTAGCTCACAAATTAGCATTTACACTTACATTACATGTGCAGGAATAAATCTTTACCCTAGGCAGACTACAACTGAGCATAATACTAAGCTTTAGCCTAAAACAAACTTTAGTTTTTGAACATATTCCTGTTGAAATAACCCACAGAAACCGTTAAGTGTTTCTTTTTGTTTCTGATGGTTTTGTAATGTGTTTTGGCTTATGGTTTAACATGTTACCAATGACTGATTCATATATTGGCAACGGTATCCCTTCCTGAATGGTAATATGCATGGCGACACATACAACCAGCACAAACAGTCGCTGCTTACATCAAAGACGTTACAAATAAGGTGACTGGCCACTGGTTGAAATATTAATGGGACGCTCGTAATGCTCAACTTTCCTATAAGGACATTATTTATATGGCACAATCACGCTGTCCTAATGCGCATGCGTTCCACTGGCCTGAAACTGCTGGAGTGAAACTGCGGGTGTAAATATGTGGCTCTGCAGTCAGACCCTTCTTCTCACTTGTGTCAAGGCATAAAGACTTTAATTTGTCCTTTACAACACTATGGCATGTTGTTATGTATAAAAATGAACAATAGCATGTTGCATAACTAAAACAGTAGCAGCCATCGTGACCCCTGTTTTTTTTCCATAATGTTGTTCATTTTCATAGAAAACAATTCTTCCTACAGTGTCAGAAACCACATAAGCAAGTCTATTTGAGATTACTTGGTGTGCTTTGAATCAAGTGTGTGATGATTTGTGTGCAGTTTATACAAGCTAATCATAAGCATCAGTAATTTGTTAGCTACATTAACCTCACAGCTCCAGTGTAAAACCAAAAAAAACCTTCAGCTACCAAATGTTTCTAAATTTGGGGCAAACTGTGCAATTTTTACTTTTCATCAAGCTATTCCTTTAAAAGGAGACTAATTTGAGTGCAAGAGAACAGAGAACAATAGGTGGTTGTTTTTGTATGAGTTATACACGTTATCACTAGGTGAATTTTTGCCAGAGATAACATTTCGGTTATACATTGAGCTACTAATCAGCTGCTAATGTAGAAATGTGACAAGACTGGAATCTGAGAGTGCTCACCATAGAACAGTGGTGTGTGCTACAGCCACAGTGAGCAGGGCGAAAGCTAAATGCCAGCTGTAACACATGGTAATGAACATCATGTTGTTGTGGTCTGACAAATCCCACTGCACCTCACTGGGGGGGTACAGCACAAAGGCAATCTGGGAAAAAGGACAGATGGAAGAAACATTTACAAAAAAGCCTTTAAGGCACAAAAATACACATTTTCTCTGACACACAGCCACATGCACACAAGCTGACCTGCCAGAACCAGCTGCCCTGAAGCACACACAGAGCGGCGCGCAGCAGCTCCAGCAGAATATTTCCTCTGTGGAAGACCTCCAGGAAGCAGATGATAGCCCCTCCAAATATTGCGTACAACAGAAGCATGTGGACATGGACATCCAGCATGTCTCTGCCATGGAGGTGATAGAGGAATAAGAATCCTGCAAAGATACAGACATTTAGTCTAGCTTACATTCAGTTTCATTTGAATACACTAGCAATGAAATGATACATACACGATACTAGGGGTGCGGGAAAAAATCGATTCTTAGATGCATCGCGATGCGGACGTGAAGGATTCTGAATCGATTCACAAATGTCAAAAATCGATTTTCTAAATATTTAATTTATAACGTAATGTTGACGGAACGTAAAAGGCGGAACTTGGAAGTGGGTAAGTGCAGCGCCCGGACAGTCTGTGGCGGCACATAACAAAAACACACATGGATGAGCGAGAAATCCGACCGGCGCCCTCTACGTTAAAAGCCAGGTTAGGTCAGGAGTCACAACACAAATGATAAGAAGAGCCATTTTGTCCTTTCAACAAAAATCAAACCAGCTTGGGAGCCACAACATTTAACGTCCAGTATGTATTAATGTCCTAGTATAGGCTAAACAGTATAAATGAAAACGCAAATTTACTTTGCTCTGCTTTAAGCTTTAGCTATAGCCGCTTTCCTCCCCTTTCTTGCAAAACAGGGCTTCCGCGCTATGTTGCACACATCCTGTCTCGAAGATATTTTACTGACACAGCGACCCCCCTCCCCCTCCCTGTCTCTACAATGAGACCAAAACCGAAGTTATAAAATCACTGAATTAAACGGGTAGGACGGCTGTAACGTTGGACACGCTGCGTGGACATCCATCACCACTGGATCTTATTTCATCGTAACTGCGCATTTCATCGCAGATGAGTGGCAACAGCGTCTCATGCGCTCTGAACAAGAGCAGTGAATGAGAGCCCTCTAGTTCACTTGCCACATCACTTCCATTTGATTTATTAATAAAAGATATTGGAAGTAAATTCATTATGGATCATTACAAATACTTTGTTTTAAAAGTACCAAGTCCTCAGACAGTGAGAAAATAGAAACGCTGTATAGAAAAAAAAGATGCATCAAGATGCATCGATAATTGTTTTATAAGCGCATCGCAGCCTTCTGAATCGTAACCGAATCGAATCGTGAGGTGCTACACGATACATACTTATATTTTCAGGTTTCATGCCATTTTCCATTCTGAAGACAAGTTCTATAGAAAACCATGAAATCTCAAAGAATGCTTTGCATGATTAAAAGGTTCCTACATCATGACAGGTTCTTCAAACTGATGGAATGTGCATGAATGTGCTATAGATGGTTCTATATAGTACCTTTCTGAAAAAAGGTTCTATTGTTACAAGCTTGACATTAGAACAATAGAAGAATTCTTTTGGGTGCTATATAGAACAATTCTCAAAAAGGTTCCATATAGAACCATCTACAGCACATTCACCATCAATCTGAAGAACGCTATTCATTAAGTAAAGAACCCTTTAAACATGCAAAGGGTTCACTGAGTGCTCATGGTTCTATATAGAACAATTTTCTTTACTAAAGAATCCTTGAAGCACCATCTTTTTTAAAAGTGTACTTATATACTAAGCCTAAATGAGGGAGCACTGCACAAAAGAGGGTGGAGATATTAAACATATTCTGTTCAATTTTCTAAAGTCTGAGCAGCTCGTAACAGCCAGTTTTGCACTGATTTCCTTCACCTTTTAAAATCAGCCGTACATTTGCATTAATGTCTTAAAAGATGTGTTGCTGAGAGACTTCATTTATCAACATGATGCATGAGCCTTGAATATGTACTGAAAGAACGTTAACCATCAGAATAATACTCCAGCAGATTTACTAACATTCTGCATCACAGCAAACTCATTCGGTGCTGTCGTGATTTACTAAACAGGCACAATGGTTTGAGAAAAGAGATTTCTCAAACACATTTATTTATTTTTCAAATATTTTTAAAGTAAATGCCTGCCATGCATGCTAATGTTATTCTTAATTTCATGAACCAACTGTCAAAGAGCATGCCTAAATGATGATCTGACAGTTTTCTTTTCCATTCAGTTTTATAGTTTTTTTTGTTAGAATTGCTTCAAACCGTCAAAGAAAACATCCTCATTTATTAAAATCGTCTTGAAAAGCAAACATTGCACATGCAGTGTAAAGTGTCTTGTCACAAATCAAATTCTGAAAACGCTTACCCTCATTGAAAAAAGCAAGGCCCAGCAATAAGCGGTCTAAAGCCAAAGGTGCTCCATCTGTGCTGTGGACGGTAAGCGAGGTAACCCCAGCCAGGGCGAAGAACAAGTACATGGTTGTGTGCTGCCAGTTCATCAGCTTGTCCCAGTGCTGAGTGGAGGAGTCATACAAGTGGAACTTTGGCCCACCTGTGGCAAGCTGTTCTCCTAGTATACCTGTGAGAGCAGTGGGTTAGAGGGTCTTTAATATTACTGATATTACAGCTAATATCAGCAGGGATAATAATAGCTTTCAGTTGATGAATATTTATTAATTTGACTCCAGCACCAACTGGAACTACTTAACTGGGTGCGAACAGACGCACAGCTGTTTGAAAACAAGGCAGGCCACCAATAACTGCAGAACCTTGAATCTCCAAGAACCATGTGCAAGCTATATAATTGACTGGGAGCAACTGTGACATTAAATGACTGTGTCTCCACCTCCATGGAACTCTGACCTGGCAATTACTGTAAGCAGACCTTGCCGTGGTTTTGTAGCATACAGTCAATTAACACAGACAATAATTTTGACACCTTGGGCTCTACTATAATAGAAGCCATTGGTCAGGTGCTGAAGTAAATGCCAATTATCTTTTATTACAAGCATGATTTGAGCCAACATATTTTCAGTTCATTTCTGGGTTTTGGCAAACATGATTATTGTCCATGATAACTGACAGTATGCCATAGATGCGGCACATAGAGATTAGGCTGAAAAACACTATAGTATTTCTTTAAGGCGGGGGTGTCCAATTGCAAAGGGCCAGTGTGGCTGGAGGTTTTCATTTCCAATAAAGCAGAAGCACACTTGATCAATTGAGACCAACTGATTTAACACATGGAATCAAGTGTGCTTCAGCTTCTTTGGAATAAAAAGCTGCAGCCACACCAGCCCTTCGTGAATAAGATTGGACACCCTTGTGGTAAGGTATCCTCATCCTAGGTAACATTATCACTGTTCCATGAAGCTTTTAAGCAACAAAACCCTTACATAAGTTCCTGTGAATGCAGGTCTATGTTTTTATGATATTGAAACTATGAGAAAGTACTGAAGGCCAGTTTTGAGTTCATGTGGTGAGAATGTGCAGCCCTGAAATTCAAAATTATATACTCCACTTGAAAAAGCATAGCAGTATCCTTATCAGTAATTACTAATCAGTCAAGCACATTAATAACAATGGCTACAAAAAGAATGTTAAAAGTCGTATATGGGCCAAGGAGGCATTATAACAGTAGTTGTTCAAAGGAGCAATAAATAAAAAAGAATCTGCGCAATGTTCAGAGTATTTGTCAGGATGCAAAACATCAAAGCAATTATGACAGGGTCAAATCAAATCAAATGAATGATATGTCATATTAAAACATTATTGTATGACCTTCTGAATGCAGAGCTAAGGTGCGTACAGAACAAAATAACATCAGAAATGTTTGCCTCTTGTTGTAAAGGATATTCAAATGTGCGGCTTACCAATAATAGAAAAGGAGAGGATTACAGCTCCCTCGATGATTTCTAGACGGTGTTGCAAGGCTCGTGTGGCGATCCTCCCTGCACCTGCACTTTTGTTCCTGCGAGTGGCGTACCACAAGGAGTACTTCACTGTCCACCACAAACCAGCGATCAGAAAGAAACTGCCAGGTAGAGCATGGCCTTTGAAATTTCCCATATTGTTCTGCAAGCCCTGGAACACCAAAGAGGAAGTTATGAGATATATCTTATTCCTCTGTGCATCAGCTTATCTCTCTGGCACTGACTACTAACGACAGACAAGCAGACATGAAAAGAGGAAAAAATGTGTGTGATTAGGAACATGAAAAGGTAGCACAACTACTGTGTTAAGTTGAGATGAGAATGCACAAAAAATCTCACTGAATTTGATATTAACATTTACCAAGTATTCACAAAAGAGCAAGACACATTTAAATAATGACACTTATTGCACTTAACAGACCTGTCTCAGTCATTAAGTTTATTAAAAATGAAACGGCCACATAAATGTTTTCGATTAACAATTAATTGTCTTTTTTGTTTATTATATTAAGCTATTAAAGTACAAGCCTAAAGTGGTTAATCTAACTTGCTTCCTAGCGACCAATACTCACAAGCTCCCAAATGACCGCAGACACCACAGACAGACAGCTTGAGCTCAAATAAACAAAAATTACTCACTGCTGCCCTCTAAAGGTGCTATACCAGCAAATAAGAACTTTTGTTTTTATTAGGCCCATGTCTCTGCAAATTTGTTTTCTGTTTTCTTCTGTTTATATGCATCTCCTCAACCCAATGGATAAAAACACAGCCAATTCATATTGTTTGTTGGGATATACACAAATGATCGTGAAAGCTAACAAGTGTAGAAAAGAAGTGTGATCAGCTTTAATAATTACAATCAGATGATTACACAATAATTGTGACATGCCTAGGACTAAGCACAAAACTATTAACTTCATCATCTCTAACTCTATCTGAAAACGGTAAAATTGTTCATAGTCAACATGTACAGCCATGCCGTGTGAGGAAAAACACCATGTCAGCATTACAACCAGAGGCAGTAGAGAATGGAAGGGTATGTGTGATTATGGTAAAAGAAGACAATCAGAGTCAACAAGAGTCCACTTGAAGTGTATGTGCATGTGTGTTGTGAGGAACCACAATTTAAATGATTTAAACAAAGGAATACACATAATACACAAAAACAGACATGTTACACTCTCTCCTGTAAAATGTCCCATTAAACTGTATGCAAAGAATGACTTCATGAATTCTGACAGGGTGAGGTATGCAGTTTGCACTGACTCGACAACTCCACACCTTCTAACATCAGATCACGATAAATGTGCAGAAAAAGCAGCAAGCAGTGAAACTCACAGTGCAGAGCACAGTGTTGCCAGTGACCTCCTCTCACCATTAAAAAGCAAAACAGTGATAATGAAAAGAACCTTACAGCCCATTACTATTATCATCCATGTATTCTGTTGTCAGTATCCATCGTCTATGTTATTCAGCACCCTTCAGTGGTGTTATCATATGAGTCAGAGTGAAAGAAAAGAACAGTCAGGGAAGGGATACAAGGAGATACCACAAACCCCCACACCAATTCAGAAATTGACGAAAATCATACACTTTGCAAAACTGCCATCCCTCTTTTACACCCTTTTTGGATTAATGTTATGTGATATTATTTAAGATGCCTATTACCCATATTTTAAGAGTTCTTCATGTCAAACCAACAAGTTAAAATTTAGGCACGCACTAATGAGGTGGTTTTATAGAAATGTGCTTTCGCTTGTAATTGGTGATGCAGTGGAATGTTTGGTGTCATGCTTCAATTTTCAGATTTGGCAATACTAAAGTTAACAACAGCAATACATCAGGATCTGGGACTTTTTTTAAAAAGAAAAAAACTAAAACAAACAACAGGCAGTCTACGATGGCCATAGGCAGTGAAGTTGTGTTTAAATTCTTGGGGAATTCTCCTAAAATTGTATTAGTCTGTGTTGCATTGATTAGAAAGCTGGCTAGAGAGCAGACCACGGAGTACAGTATCTCCCTCCTCCTGAACCACCATGCACCACCCACTGGCTATCAGCAAGGTCAGACGTGCTACTCTAACAGCAGCAAATGGCAGCTGAAATAAGAAGCATTGGTTTTAAGATGAAGGAGCCACTGTTTGGTTATTTGTAGTCACCTTGTAGTTATTTGTTAACACCTTGTCCCACTCTTTTCGTTCAATGTGCATTTAGGATTCTAGGAATGTATATTTTCTACAGGACAGTGAACCTTCAATACGTGTATGTACACCACAGGATACCACAGGATAGACCTTCAATAGATCCTGTATTTACTTGACCTTCCTTGGTCATACAAGTTTCTTTCAGGCATGGAAATACCTTTCTGTATTCCTTTCTGAACTTTGGTTACACTTGGTATACGAAATTTTCATTTTAAATAATGAACCTTCTAATAAAGCAATCACCCCCTGGATCTACATACACATACATTTCATATCTTTGTGGCTTTAGCATTGAATGAAAATTCCAAACCATCTGTTTCAGAAGTTGCAGATTCATGCACTGTGACCAGATTACCATATCTGACAAAAATATATTGACAAAATATGTGTTTTTAAGCATCACACACAGCTGCATCTTTCTTACAGTAGTAGATTTATAGCAGAAGGAGTATTGTTCAGTACCTACAATGCATAATATTAAACAGATATGTATGCTATGTAGTTATGAGAGTTATGAATGGAAGCCTGGAGCCAATCACGGCTCCTTTGAAGTTAAAAGCCTAGAGGATTTAAACTTCATGATATCTGTGTTAGACACTGTATGTTTCGAAAAGGAACATGTACACACTAAAGTTTTAGGTTTAAAACTTTATTTTGTAAATACGTTAAATTTCTTCAGTTCAGTCTGCCTAATGATTCTCTCTATGGTGTGTTACTGAGGTTGGAATCTTTGAACTGTATTTTCTCGGGACTTAAAGTGAAAGGAGCAGAAGTCAGTAGGGCTGTAGTTTTCAGCTCCCAGCACGCACATTCTGCTCTTTCAAGATGCGAATATCTCAATTGCAATATTATAACACCATTGTAATGTTTATAGACTGCTGTATATGAACTCTTCAACTCAGACAGTATACAGCCACCACTATATTACACTTCTACATCTCACGTCATGATTTCTAATTTATTTGATGGTCTCACTGTTTCCATGTTGTCTTGTACTTTACTGTTTATTGTGGACTTGCACACCAACAGAGCTGCACTGAATCAAAATACCACCAACTAAATCTTACAAGTATCAAAAAAATGGAAAACCTAGATTGCCATATGCTAAAACATGTCAGGCAGTTCTGGAACAAGGTTAATTTTTGATTATTCTAAAATACAATAACCACATAAGTAAGTATTTACTAGTGAGGACAGCGTTTTAAATACCCTCAGGCTGCTATTACAGCTCTCAAGAATGCACGTATGGGCTATTCCAGCTGGGGACCACAAGAACCCCTTTATTTTTTAATCCTGTTTCTCCAGGATGTAGTGCCATCGCCATGGAGACACGATGACCTCTGAGTGGCTCTTCAACTGAGAGCCGACCAGCTGTCTGACTGGCTGATGTTGTTGTGTTTATTTATAACAGCAGGGCTAATAAATATGCACAGCATCTTTCAAACAAGACGTGCAACAGCAACCACATCAGTAGGGCCTACATCAAAAGGAGTGAATGAATAAGTAATTTGTAATCAGTTTGACATTGAAGTAAAATTGTGCCAGCTTATCTCAACTCAAACTCAAAGAAACCCTGTATGCGGAACAACATTGAACAGCAGGTCAATCCAAGAAAAAGTCTATTTCATATTATTCAGTAATGCATGATGCAGTTTGTTTTCATATAATCTCAGTTCAATCTGGATGTGTATTTATAATATAGCCTCAGAGGAAAGAACTATTTTAAATGAGATTTCTTCTTAATCTCATGTACTTCTCTTAGACATGCTTAAGTCCTGCTTAAATTCAGAATGAGACTTAAGCCATTTTCTCCTGTTTCTGAAATTTGGCACCTTTTCTCACTTTGATCAAAATATTGTCACACATATGGATTAACTCTTTTGTGTCTGCCTCATCTCACCCCAGTCTTAGATGAATAACATTTCCATAAGAAAAGTGCAAGATCTCACATTTTCTTATATGGCTCTATTCTAGGCCTCTATCATAGAACTCTTTCAGCAGTCTGTCATGCTTTTCTTATTCACCACCAGAACTTCTTACAGTGGGGGGTGTTAGAAGAAAGAATTCAGAAATCAGTGAGTACAGTGATACCATATTGAAATCTGCTTTATTCCTCTGAGACAATCTTAAGAAAGACATTCTTTCCTTTGGGCTGTTCTCTGCGTACTTTACTGACACGGCTGCCCAGGTCATGTTTTATGAACCTGCACAAGTAAATAAAAGGAGACAGGCGTGTATTGTTTGAATAATTTGATTCGGTATATAAGATTTTGATTAAGTAAAAGCACCTTTTTGTATAAGGACAACTAGTGACATGATAAATGGCTGATGAATGTATCTTTTCTTCATTGTTAATACTCTCCATATTTCCATTTCCAAGAGTTTCTGAGGCCTGACAAGGGCCTCTTAATATGAACGAAAGCAAATCATCTATGAACAAACTCCTACATTAAACTCGACAGAGAATTGACAAAATGATGCACTAACTCAAACTTTTTTTAATCCTCTAAAACAGGCTGGGTTATAAGGCAGGTTAACAAAACAAAGCATAGTGTTTTTATGACTTACCTCAGAGTCTAGCGAAGAAAAATGCTAATGCTGCTGTTTCCCAAGTAAACGGAATCAGACTCCGCAGTATTCGCCCTCCTTTCCTCGCATTTTTAAAATTTAAACTGTAAAACAGTAATGGTCTTCACAAGAAAGTGCATTTTGTTGGAAATAAAAACACTGTCACCATCACTTCAGTAAAGCGTTCATCAGCTTTAGCCTGCCCAGCCACTTCTCCAGCTGTTCCTCACATTTCCAAGATTTCTTTTCCGAAGGGTTCTTTTCTTGTGAGTGTATCTTAAAGGAAACCTCCCACGGACGTCAATGATTGGCTCAAAGTCGGGCGTTCGCATCATTCGTCTTCGTTCTGATTGGCTGAGCGCCACCTCAATCAAAGCTCTTGTCTGAATTCCACGTGTGCAGTTTCACTCCGCCTGATTGTAGGCTTGAGGATATATAAACAAGGTATTTTTCACACCCGTATTCCGCCAGGCCCCGCCTTCCGGTGCTAGGATTGGTTGGTAAAATCCAGTCTCCCGCGTCGGGATTGGCTAGTAGGATCCAGCCTCCAGGTCCTGCGTGTGAGTGGTAAGTAGTCAATCCTAGGACAGGAGGGCGGGACTTGGAGGAATACAGGTGGGAAAAGTAACGGCGTCCAGACGCTTTCTCCTCTCCAGGAAACCGCTATGTGGATCAGCGTCTTTAAGAGATGTTAGGAACTCATAATGTGCACTTATTTTAAGTGTATTATTTGGGTGAGCTGTCCTGCTTAGTCTAATTCACACTTTGAAAGCATTAATGAGAGTTACAGCCCACCTGAAAGCCTGTCTTCTGGAATGTTTTTTTAACCTTAAGATAAGTCCATGTAACTGTGTGAAATGTGTTTGACACTCATTTTGTTCATATATTTAATTTTTTTCTTTTTAAAGTACTCATAGATTTCTTTTTAATCAGGAGGAAGCTGAGTTTTAGCGTTTGTTCGTCTTTCGCACTTGTGATGAGAGGGTGGGGCCAGAAAGGCGCGGTTTGTCTACGTGCACACAGTCACGGTTGATCTTTGTGAGACGAGAAGCCAGAATGGTGGCATGGAAAGAAATGAAGACCAGACTGAGAAGACGGTGTTTTTACTGGACCATTGTCAGACCTTTATCTTCTTTATTTTATTTATACGGTTCTTCATTTAATTTGACAGTGAGTGGCACTGAGGCCACCTTGAAATCACTGGGTAACATCTGAAAAACACGGTACATCCGGGCATTCGGCACTAGTTTTCCACAGCTCAGTCTAAAACAGGATGTTCAATGATGAATCACCGCTGCACTAATTACACTGGACTTAATTTGTATCTGGGAAACCTGGCCTTAGTGTACTAAACAGGGTAACCACAGTGTTTAGATATAAGACCTTTGCATATATTAACTAACATTTCACTGACAATTCATTTGGCATCACAAAGTTCAGTGCCACTTCAAGATATAATGTGATTGAAAGTTGCCCTGAAATCAAAGACGTAACAAAAAAGGCTGCATTTGCACTTCACTGTTTCGTTAAAAAGCTTGCCTTTGGAGGGGAAGAGGCAGGGAAAAGAGGACTGGAGGAGGAAAGGGAGGACTGGAACAAGGCGTCAAGAAGAAGATAAAGATAAGGATAAGAGTTCTGGATGGCCAAATGTATAAATGCACACTTTCATGAAACTATGCAGATAGCTGCCTTATCTCAGGCAACCACTGCACACACCAGTGAAAGTGCACAATAATCCAAATCTCAATGTACATGTCAAAATCAGCTTCTGCACATTCAGATTTGACTGTAAACATGAATGTTCTTTATGAACATATCCAGGATACTTGTCCATCCACTTTGCACCCACAAAGCTTGTGTGTGCACGCAACAGGTGAGATGGTGAGATGGTAAAATGAACATTTAAGTGGACATTAATGATCATTCTCCCTTTGACCCAGTTCAGGTGGGGAAGACTGACCATGGTCCCGCCAAGCAAAAGCCTAGTGGATGGTTCCTTTTCCCACTCAAAAACAGGAAAGGTCATGCAGGTGTATGTTGCAGGGGTCATCAGGGAAACTGGACACGGGCAGAGGACTAGTAGACAGGTTCAGGCATGACCACATGGACACAACAGGTGGGACATGACTGCTTTATCCACAGCCAGTCTTCATCACACTGGAAGAGAGGAAGCAGAATTAGGGAGGGGCAGTCAAATCTATTCATTGTCCAGTCTCCAAATACTAACAAGGAGCTTTTATTGAGACATGCTAGCCCCCTTATGGCTTGAATGGTATTTGTCCAAAGCAGTAATCTAGCAGCTGTAGGGGAGGCTTCACTTCAAGAACCTCAATACTGTTCCAGATTGTTCTGGATTGTTCCGCTTTGCTCTATGATCACGTGCACCCATGTCAAGTTACCTCAACAAACCTCAATTCCAAAAAAGTTGAGACAGTTTGTGAAATGCAAATTAAAACAAAAAGCAGTGATTCGTAACACGTTCGAAAAAAGTTGAGACAGAAGCAGTTTAAGACTGAGAATGTGAATTGCTTAACTGCTTAAAAAAGGTCTAGGACATTCAAGAACAAATGTAAGAAAAAACTCGGGAGGATATTAGTGAATGAGGCCTAATGTTCCTAAATGAGCGATTGCAAGGACATCATCGAAAGATCCAGGAAATCCAGAGAAATCTCTACAAGTAAATAGCAGGGCCAAAAACAACAACTGAATGCCTGTGAGATTCAATCCTTCAGACATCTCTGCATTAAGAACTGTCGTGCTTCTATTATGGATATCGCCACATGGGCTCAGGAATACTTTGACACACTTGTCAATAAACACCTTCTGTCGCTGCATCTGCAGATGCAAGTAAAGACTGTACTACACACAGTGTCATATGTCATATTGCCATATGTCAACAAGAAATGCCATACAGAATGCTGTCCAGAAATGCACAGGGGAAATCTGTACTGTGACCTGAAGAGTCAGTCTTTCATGTTGGTTATGTAAATAGTGATTGTCCTGTTCTTTGGGCCAAAGAAGAAAAGCACCATCCAGATTGTTATTAGCGTAAAGTTTAAAAGCTAGGGTCTGTCATGGTATGGGGGTGTATTATTTCCCATGGCATGGGTAATTTGCACATCTATGAGGGCATCATCAATGCTGAAAGATGCACAGTATATACATTTTGGAGCAACATGTGCTGCCTTTTTTTGGCAATATCATTTCCAGGGATGTCCATTCTAATTTCAACATGACAACACCAAAGCCACGTTCTGCACGTTAAATGGAAAGGTGGTAAATGTACTCCTTTTTTGGAACATGTTGAAGGCATCAAATTTGGAATGAGTGTTTATTTACAAAAAACAAACAAATAAACAATAAAGTTCATAAGGTTAAACCCCAAATATTGTGTTTCCAATTTAATACAGGTCAAACAGAATTGACTCATCACTCATTTCTGTTTTATTAGCATTTCACATACTGTCTCTACTTCTTTTAGAATTGAGGTTTGTATAATCAATGTTCAGCACTCAGATGATATCTGGTCATCAGGTCCTGACCAATGATGAATGCTATAAAGCAGGGATTGGAGATCTCCAGTATTGGAGAACAAAATTTGATTTTTTTGCTCAAACACACCCTATTCAACTTGTCACTTAAATGTCAGAATTAGTTGGATTGAGCCCTGCGATGGACTGGTGACCTGTCCAGGGTGTATTCTGCCTTCCACCCAATGACAGCTGGGAGCAGGGCTCCAGCACCCCACCGCGACCCAGAAGGATAAGAGTTTAGATGATGTGTATGTGTATGTGTAGTTGGATTGAGGGAAGACAAAAAATTGTGAATGAAAACAGATTGGCTACACTTATATAGTACACCTGTAAGTTAGGTGGAGCTCATAAAGTGGCCAGTGAGTGCATAGTGAGTGCCCCATTCTATGTTTATTTTTTTTTTTAAGTCTTGCTTGAGTTCCCCAGCCTTACTAAGCCATGTCTCATTTTCCACGCTGTGGTTTTCCGGTTTCCTGTTTTTCAGCGTTCTGACCTTAGGGGCTTGTCGTCTGGGTGAGGATTATGAAAATGCCCTGTACTGCTCTGTCTGCCATTATCATTACTCTGTCTGCTTGAAGACACTCTGTGGAAATGCCCAATTAAAGGCATTTAATGAATGCAATAAATCTGAAATTGAATGTGCCACATTTCATTTCAGACTCATCTTGCAAACATCCCTGATTGCCTGCATTTATCTTCTTTTTTTAAAGGGTATTTCTTTAATTAAGCCTTTGAAGCAGTGGAAATTAAAGGGGAATTCCTGCCAATAACCTGCCTTTAATATGTTATTTGTTAATTCATGTTATGTAGTATTCACAAATTTTTCTTTTTGTTTTTTTCATCCATCTCACAACAAAACCCAGCATGCATTATGCAAACATGTCATGCATCCATTGCAAATCCAGTCATAAATACTGACTGCTAGCATAGTCACTGATGTAGAGGCTAATACATGATATATGGCTTCTCAGCAGCAATGTTAGCAGGAAAAAATCAAACAGCCTGCCGTCAAAGACCCTCCCCAAACCCTTGTAGTTTTCCAAAAGCTCCTCCACCTTCAAGATACTTCATCAGAAGGGGGTTTTCCTAGTGTTTAAACCAGAAAATCTGACTTTTGAGACTGTTGTGCCACAGTAGGCATGTTCACAACAGATGTAATTTTTTGGCCCAGTGTCTCTTTAATAGTATGAATAATTTCTGCTGTACCTTTATGAACTTATGCTCTTTCTCCTTGTGATTACAATGTCTGAACATTGATTTTTGCTATGTACTGTGTACGATGTACTGTGGCCACCAGCTAATTTCCAGCATGCGCATTGTGTCATCTCATTTCTGCACTGACCCCTTACGTCTGACCTGTAAAATCAGGATAATGTCCAACGTCATAGTTACCACAACAGTCACTGTGACAAGATGGTATGTAGGGTCGCCTGAACTTCGAAGCAAAGCAATATTCCATAAACACCTGAGTTAACGATTACCTTAAATATTGCTTGGATGACAAAAGTAATCCAGAATGAAAGCACAGAAAATATAATTGACAGTATGACAGAGACAACACATCAAAAAAGAACGGATTACAGTAGATTAAGTTCATTTGATGAAAGGGCCAATTGGACTCATATAGTCCACAATTATAATGAAGATTACAAAAGCTAAGAATGCCACATTTTCTCTGCTGGAAGCATATCAAATTGGAGACATATACAAAGTTTGCACAAATAAACTGTGCTATTAGACAAAAATCAAGGTCACCTTGTAGTTCCAAGCAGCAACATTGTTGTCAAGCCAGTTCATTGTCAACAAACTATGTTTTATGTATGAGAGAAAAATGTATGAGAGAAAATTTTGTACTAAAATCTTACTGGTCTCAAAAACGTTAAGATGACTTGGCCCTGCAAAGAACAAGGTCAGGGGCATAGAAAAAGATTACCAAGGGTGAATAAGTACAAGGGCTTCTTACTCAAAACCTGTTAAATAGATTCATTAAGTAATACTCCGTAAAACACTGACAAAAGTAATGTGTACTAAATGTATACATCATTTCCACATTAATAAAATCAACACAGTTACTGCTGAAAGTAAGTAAATTGAAACTAAAACGGTTAACTTATTATATTTTATTAGTGTGGAAATGATATATGCATTTGATTCAAGTAAATTCAACACCTTTTTAAACAGAGTATTATGCATTTTCATTGAAATGTGCTTTGTACATGTTCTGAGAATTCACAGTCTTCAGATGGAGGTGCATCAGCGTTGTCTACGTAGGGACAGTTGGCGACGGGGCATGCGGTACTCTTCCTGTCCAGCGCAGAATGGCACCTCCTTCCTGCGCTCGCACACACCAGTGGAGCTCCCGCTGCGTGGACGGCCGCCTGGCTCTGACCTCCTCGCCTTCTCGATCCACCAATCAGAAACAAGAGATCTAATGATACTGCTGGACTCGTGTGCCCATGAAACTACACTACAGGCCAAAAATGGGAAACAATGCTAAAATTGCAAAAATAAACATGAAATGTACAGTTTTTTTAAGAGATAATGGATAGTATTTATTAATATAGAATAAATTAGTTTGACTAAATAGCATATGACTAACTGATTCTTAATTTGCTTTGCTGCTGGTGATTCTCCTGCAGAGTTTTATTGCAGCTGTAATCATATCCATTTAATTTCCACATTCAAATGCTTCTGAAGGCTTGATTAGAATTAGAACATTAAAACAATTACTGAAGAATTTAGAGCACTGCTATTAGCAGGAACTTTCAAAGGCTTTTTCATAGACTACTTCAGAGCGAGAATGGATTTGACTGTTTGACTGAACTGTAAAAATCTCTGCTTGCTTCCATACTTTTAGCCTGTAGTGTGTATGTAGTGCAGCAAATATATGGATGGACTCTTTAGCTTGGTACCCATGCAGCTTTATGATGTGTATGCCAGATCCAGGACTGGTTTGCCATTCCACAGTTCATTGATGGGATGTGAAGGCCAATAAGCGACATGCAGGAAAAAAAGTAATGATCCTGATGGTCTGCTAGACACAAGGGACGTGCGCTGCAGTGTCACTGAATTAAAAAACTGTCCATGCAGTAGCAAAGGAACTTTAAAATGGTTTGACATGCCAGGCAAATGCTTTTGCTGGGCTCTTACCTCTTTGTGGAAGCGGTGGGAACAGTGAAGTTCATGGGCTCCTCCTCCTCCTCCTCCTCCAGTGCACAGTTCGTGGCAGATCAAACACACACTATCTGCGTCACTCTGAAACAGAACAGTATCAGCAGATTCATACTGAGCAAATCTACAATGGATAGGAAGATTTGGATAGAGTCTTTCTTCCCACAGGGTTTCAAATTGCTATATTAAAAACTCACTTAAGTTCATAAGCCTTGTATGCTGACCTACTTTTTCTGGTTTTAATTTTACGATTTCATGAGAATTAGAGTAAAATACACTAATGTTAGGCTTAATTTAACAATGTCACTGCTGAAAACTGAAAAACAACCTATGTAACAGTTGACTCTTGTTCCAACCACCACTCACTGCCCTCAGAATGCTTGCAAGCCAGAACAAACTAGCTAAACTACTGAGCTAATTCGAGGAGCGACAAAGGAGATTCCAAAGGCAGTCTGCCCTGGGGGTGTACTCATGGCCATAATTCCAAGTGTAATTGGCCTCACTTTCTCTACGTGGGTTAGATGCCCTCTCTTCACCCCATCACTGCTAGCAGTGCTAGCCAACGCAGGCATCTGTTAGCTGACATAACAGAATCGCATTCTCCTCCGAGCGTGTTGAGCTGTCAAATGATGTTGTTCAGTTCAAAAAGATGTGGCTCGTTTCACTTGTCTCAGAGGCAGCACATGCTTTCACCCTCCCAGCTTGAAACGTGGTGTGACAGGGAGGGAGTTAACTAGAGAGTGGAACTGGAAATGACTGAATTGGGGAAAAGATATCTAAAAAAGGAGACCCCCGTTCCACTCCAAAAAAAGGAAAAGAAAACTACTAGATTTACTTTATGCACTTCTTTAATTCAGATGATCAGTTTTTAATTAGGGTTTTATAGCCCAGTAATACATGGGGAACAACTGTTCTGAGCTGGGTCTCACAAAAGCATCTTAATGTTAAGATCATGTTACCTGGTAGAGAGAGTGTTCAATGTGATGCTTGCTCTACCGTTTAAGAATCGTCTGAAATGCTTTTGAGAAACCCATTCCTATTCAGCTTAATTATTGTAAATATTATCACTGTCCAAAGAAAAACTCTCCATTTTTGCAATTTTTACTTTTGTGTATCATTTGAGCACATCAGCTATCGTTTACATTGTGTAAAATTTCATGATGAATTCATGAATAATGCTCTAAAAACGCTTAAAATAAAATCTCTATATTAACTTACATTGCATGTAAAGAAACATTTTTGTCCTCTCCTGTAAACTTACCATTTTGGAGATACTTGTTTTTCCTTGGACAACCACTGTGGGTGGATTACCGGTATTAGGGACAGCTGTTACTGTGATTAAGCCTTTGGAGGGTGAGAAGTGCTGTACAATGTTATCTGTAGTTGTGATAAACTGCATCATATGATGTTTGATGCATGCAGTACATAACATTGTCGGTAATGATGTTTTTATATTAATCAAGTGCATGAGAATGGCTTAGCAGAATCACTTCATGTTGCTTACAAAAGTTATTACAGATGTTTTGTTTGATACAAATGACACTGAGATGTTTTCTTACTCAACTCTGTCAGGACCCTCACTCACCAGAGACATGATCTTCTGGTTGCGGAAGCGCAGCCTCCTCTCAAAAGACTCGGCAAGCTCGGGGATGGTGCAGATGCGGCTCTCTGGACCACCTTTCGTCCAGCTGCTTTCATCTGAGGAGACGCGGCGAGCGTGAGGGTGAGGACGCACCTCTTTCTCCTCACGGGTCTTTATGTGAACGGGGGCAGGAGGCATGGTGGCAGCATGGAACTGCTTCAGCTTCATGGCCTCCAGTTGTGACTGAGAGAGAGAAAGAGAGAAAAGAAAACTTTAGTCTTTTGCAAAGGTCTGTGAGTGGTCCACACTTCTTAATCCACATAACTGCATAACATGCACTTACACCGATCAGGCGTAACATTATGACCACCTCCTTGTTTCTACACTCATTGTCCATTTTATCAGCTCCACTTACTATATAGGTGCACCTTGTAGTTCTACAATTACAGACTGTAGTCCATCTGTTTCTCTGGATACTTTGTTAGCCCCTTTTACCCTGTTCTTCAGTGGTCAGGACACCATGGACCCTCACAGAGCAGGTGCTATTTGGGTGGTGGATTATTCTCAGCACTGCAGTAACACTGATGTGGTGGTGGTGTGTTAGTGTGTGTTGTGCTGGTCTGAGTAGATCAGACCCAGCAGTGCTGCTGGAGTATTTAAACACCTCAGTGTCACTGCTGGACTATGCTGGGTAGCTATGATATAACTACCAACTGGGTAAGCTTCTGATAACCATATTCCGCAGAGATGGAATCTAACATTGTTAATATGTAGTAGCTATCAGCATTAATTTGGTTAGAAAACAAAATATTGACAAACTGGTGCTTCTTCTGGAGAAGCTCATCAGGTATAGGGGTTTGTTTCATTTGCATGTACCTCAGCATTCTTTGTTATAATCTTTCCAAGTGCCATTCAAAGTATGTATGTGTATAGTTAATTAGTTGATGTTCTGGTCATATAGCCTGCAATTAAGTGCAATCTTTTCTATTGCATATATTCTGAACCAACCACAGATTAGAATGATTGTACAAAGGGAATGTTTAACCCCTTAAAAACCCAGACTTATTACATACTAAGGCTTATTATCCAGTAACTACAGGGGATTCAATGTAAACAGGTGGAGCTTTTCTTAGGTTGTATAAGTGTGTAATAAAACTCTGGGCCTGCCAATTAAAGGGTTCAATAAAGGTGAAACAACAAAAACATCATGGGGCATGTAAAAGAGAACAAGTGGGTGATAAACTGCATAATATTATTGATGTCTTAAAAAAACTGTGATATTGGATAATGCACATTTTCGGGCCAAGAATACTTTATAGTTATGCAGTTTGGGCCGTATGGAATTTTGGAGATATGGAGATACATTTAAAGTATTTTATTATTTTTCATTCCAAATTTTGCCAAAATGCATTTTTAGCCTAAAACTTTAGGTGAGTGTGCTGATTGTTTTCACACTACGATTAAAGCAGTGAAAAAGAACATTTCATTAAAATTATACTCAAGAAGTGCAAAAAAAATAGCTTAAAGCTACAATGGAGAAAAGTCACAAGTACATGAAAGGAAATGGCTCATCCATTTAAATAAATGAAACACTGCTTAATAAAAAAAAAACAAAAACATTTATTTCAGAATTGTAAGTCATTCATAGTATTATCTCTGTCTTTCTCTGCTTTTGACTGGCTTAAACAATACGGTCTTCTCAAAACAGCGCACGCTACTGTTTGAAAATAACTGCATTAAGCACACCGGCTTCATGCTTAAATGGAGGTGTGTTTAGCCAGTTGTGTAATTTACGTCTAGTAGTACATCTGAAAGCTTTGACTGGACATATGCCACCTTAGACCCTCCTTTTTTTAAGCAATGGCCAATGATATTTAGCCAAACATCATTAGTAAAATAATGACTGACACAATTCTCAACCACTCACTGCTTATAAATCATCTCCTAATCGTCTCCATCAAGAGAAAAACCTTCTGAATCTGTGGTGAGACCGTGTTGACAGTATGTCAGTGTTAATCACAATTCCACTATAAGATGTGAAAAGATGTTACCGAGGAACTTTTACCTCAAACACAAACACAAGCTATCCTGATCATCTGGAAGGTGGTGCTGTTTTTACTTCACTTATGAAGCTGAAAAGGTTATGGCTTAAACTCTGTGGAAGACCACCCTCACTGCTCATCGTCACTAGAACGAGCAGCTCTGAGTCAAGCTAAACTTCATCTAGTTTACTGTATTTGCTAACACTCATTTTAATATACTATCTAACAATAATCAAGATTACAGAACAATGTAAAGATCATTGGCAAGCAAACTATAAAGTAACAGTCAGATACAACAGTATTGTGTGATTTAAAAAAATCACGAGCAAAGATAAATACTAAATAATACATTCATACGTTTTGATATAATATTGAAATTTGTTTATCAGTCCTTGTGTATAAACATGTCCTCCTTAGCACAATGCTACAGTGAATGGCTCTAATGTTAGCTTTAGTGTTAGCTCATCTGAAAGAGCTAACAGGAGTCTTCTTCAAAGCCCCTCATCCCACACGGACATCTGCTCAGTGACTAAAAGATTTCCCTGCTTTCATTAATGTTAACATGATTTCCACAGTTATTTTTGCCTTAAACTGGCTCACATTTATATTTACACAGTTGTTAAGATGTAAGTCAGCACTGAATATTTTGTAAATCCTATTAATTTTTGAATAATAATAAAATGTTTTAAAATTGTACTCCTCTTTGTGCTACTGGACTTCTGTCTGTTAGCACAACTGTTATGCACTTTACATCTTTCATTGCTGCCATAGTACTTAATACTCAAACGTGACCATTAGCCACCACTGGGTTAAACTGCACTGGGATAATTATATCTGAATGGCCCAGTAGGACCTGAACGAGGCCTTTCACTTAGAGCACATTATTGGTACTTAACCTATTGGCCCTGAGGCAATTATCACACATTCAGCTCACAGCCCATTATGTGTGCAGTGAGAGCAATAATTATATGTCCCTAAAATAAATTAATAAAAAGAACGATTCTTTGTGTAAATATTTAAATTTTGGTAAAATGTGTTATTTATACTCGCTTAGAACTTGTATGAGAGCTATTTATGCTTAAAGCAAGCACACAGTGCTTTACGCTAATTTCTTTCTATGATAGACAAGCAATGAAAGGCAGTTAAGGACTGTTTATTTTAACACTGATCATCCAAATTTGTAAAGAGAGAATGTGATCAGTGTTTATAAGTTTGCTATTGACAGCCACAGCCTAATCAAATCTCTTGCCTTAGCATCAGAAACAGGATTAAAGCTAAATCTCTCCTGAACTACAACTCTAAACCACCAGAGTTCAAGCTTTCAGCTTTTCTGATTCAAAGACTGATATGCTGTGTCCCTCTACTGGCAGCCTGAGGAACAGCATATGTTTGAATGTCATCTTGGTGGCACATTCATTTGCAGTGATGATTCGTTAGAGCAGCACAAGATCTAGATTGTCATTTACAACGGCTAAAACTTAATCTCCAGTTGGCTGATGCAAAGAATTGTCTATTTCTGCAGTTTTATCTGTTTTTTTCCGTTAATTCTACAACCCCAATTCCAAAAAAGTTGGGACGCTGTGCAGATACATTAAAAATAGGATACAAATCATGTAAACTGTATTTTTAAAGGAATTTTTAAAGGAAAAAACAACATATCAAATGTTGAAACTGAGGAATTTTATTGTTTTTTGAAAAATATATGCCCATTTTGAATTTGATGCTAAAAACACGTTCCAAAAAAGTTGGGACGGGAGCATGTTTAACACTGTGTTTCATCACCTCTTCTTTTAACAACATTCTGTAAGTGTTTGGGAACTGAGGAGACCAACTGCTGTAGTTTTGAAAGAGAAATGTTTTTCCATTCTTGTTTAAGATAGGATTTCAGCTGCTCAACAGTTTGGGGGCTCATTTGTCGTATTTTTTATTTCAGAATGCGCCAAATGTTTTCAGTGGGTGACAGATCTGGACTGCAACAAGGCCAGTTTAGCACCTGGACTCTTTTAATATGGAGCAATGCTGTTGTATGTCCGAATAACGTCCATTTTTAAGCGTCCGTGGATCATGGCCAGCAAATATAGTTTTTTGGCCTTGTCCCTTGCATGCAGAGATTCTCTGAATCTTTTATGATATTATATACTGCAGATGATGAAAAGCAAAAGTTCTTTGCTATTTTATGTTGAGAAACATTCTTGAATTGTTACACTATTTGCTCACGCAGTCTTTCAGAGTGGTGAACCCCTCCCCATCTTTATCCCACCTCTCTGGGATGCTTTTTTTGACTTGTTGCCAATCAACCAATATTTATCATTACACAACTCTACCAGCCTTTTGTTGCCCCCGTTCCAACTATTTTGGAACATGTTGTTGGCATCCAATTCAAAATGGGCATACATTTTTCCAAAAACAATACAATTTCTCAGTTTCAACATTTGATGTTGTCTTTGTACTATTTTCAATGAAATATAGGGTTTAAATGATTTGCACATCATTGCATTTTGTTTTTATTTACATTTTGCACAGCGTCTCCCAACTTTTTTGGAAATGAGGTTGTAATTAAATGTGATTTCTTAATGCAGTTTTTAGTTTATTTGATGTATAAGGCCAAAAATTCTGTTTTAGTCTACTGATTGGACCAGTGGGGCCCTGGGGTCACAATGCCTGAGAGGGGCACAAAGACAGGGGACAGTGCACTGCAGATGAATTAGATGAATCAATAGCCTTTGAATATGTAATGACTAAATAAATTAATCAAAGGCCCCTCAACCCAAAGCCTGCCACTATATTTAGAAAAACACCAAAACTGTGCAGAAATATAATTATTCAGAAAACACAGTTCTTTGCGGTGCAAAGCCCACATAAACATACACAAGCTGTTTATTACAATTATCTTTCAGGTCTAGGGTGGAGTGTGGAGCTGGAGGCCCTCTGAAGACACTTGTGCCAAGGGGCCTTATGAGTCCAAGATCCATCACTGCACACAAAAAACCTTTTTGAACAAGAAAACACAGGAAAAAAAATCACACATAATTTGTGCTCTATTGTTGCTCTGATCAGACAAAACACTAATAAGCGCTAACTGATCTGAACTGCTTCCAACAAGAAATCTTTTATATGGTGATAGAAAACACAGAAAGCTCTGGTTCTACGTGGTGAAATAGGTAAATAAATTTTACTGTTGCCAATGGGGAAACGCATGCACGTAACAGATTCTGAGCTGTTTTACCCCGCATGAAATGCAGTCATTTGTCATTTGAGAAATATCACTGATGTTCTATCTCAAAGCGACACAGAAAAACATGTTCATGCTTTTGTAACAAGCAGAGTTGATTACTGTAAAGCTCTTTTTACTAGGTTTCCTAAGAAAACTGTCCATCCTCTACAACTCATACAAAATGCAGCAGCACGCATCCTAACAAAGACAAAAAAATTAGCTCAGGTCACTGCCATTTTAGAAGAAAACACTTGCTACCTGTACTTTTTAGGATAGTTTGCTATTAGTTTTTAAGGCTCTAAATGACCTTAAAGCACTTGCTTAGCTCACACAGTATCTAGTCTGTATATGTTCCAACATGTGATCTTAGATCTGCAGATACTGGCCTTCTGCAAATACATTCCATATTTAAAAGGATTCTTTCTTTTATTCTGCTTCTAAACTGTGGAACTCCTTTTATTGGACAGACAAGCACAGTGCACATTTTTAAGAAACATTTGAGAATTTATCTCTTTAACTTAGCGTTAACAGTCTCTTTTGGTATTTATCTTTTTAATTTGATCTGTGTCATTGTCTTACATGAGTTTAAATTACTGTTTAGCTTCATCATCTGTCTGTAAAGCACTTTCAACTCCCACCGGCATAAAAAGTGCTCTACAAATAAAGATTTTATATTGATATTAATATTAAAAGTCTAAAATATCGCTTTTGAGGCCTTATGTTGCAACACTTTGAAATAACATTATGTTTTATGTCCCCCTCATGACTCCACTGACTCCAAATCATGTGAAGTACTATAGTAATTTATGTTGAAAAGCCATCCTAATGGCTTGTTGGCATGGAGGTCATGCATACTTCCTTTATCATTTATGGTAATCACAGCTTTACTTGTTTTAAGTTCTTGTCAATGTATTGCTATAATAGTGGAGATTGCTAGTATTTAACAGTGATGATATTACTGTGTGAGGTTCTTTATGTCACTGATTTGTTTGTTTTTTCATAGAACATAGACATATTCAGACATATTCAGTATACCCAGAAAGAAAAGCTGACATTTTCTATTTTTGCTCAAGGTTAGCCTCTTCTTATTTGTTTTTGATTGTTTCTTTCTGGTACTACTTGTATCTGGCTCCCACTTCATCCGCTCTGAATGACAGCTAACGATCCTGGAGGATGTGAGCCGGCACATGCGTTCATTTGCACCACATGAATCCAATTCATTGGAACAGCTTCCTGTTCAACACCATCAGGCAGCTCAGCATACTTGGAAAAGAATATGTCTTCATTTGGCCAGCACATCACTCTGTATCAACAAAAAGACAACAACTATGCTGTCCTTCCACTCAGTAAAAATATGGCCCAGCTATTGCACCATCTCTTGCGCTCATGACTGGATATGTAGGTGAAAAATTTGTGGAGTTTCGACTAGTTGTTTCCAGTAAAACCCAGCTCTTTAGAAGTAGCAGAATGTTAGCTGGTTGAGCAAATGTAATACGCCTCTCTTATCTAAAGCACTTAATTATAGTCGAGATAACAGCTTTCGTTTCTCTGACAGAGTGAGGAGGACATTCTATATACTTAAGGTACATGGTTATATACTTAATGGGGAATTTCACTGTTCTCCGGAAATGTCTGCATGACTAAATCATTAGGATGTAAACAAAGCCATTCTCAGTCGTGTGATGTGAAATGCTACATTCTAGAGAAACCTGTGGAGACAGAATTGTTCACAGTGATGGTGATAGGAACCAGACATCTGAAGAGTTCAGTCCATCTAAAAGCTTCCTTACAGTTTTTTCATGAAACGTTTATGAATACATTTCCTGATGCCTAAGGTCCCTGTGATAGTATTGAGAATGTTTTGAGCTAAACCATATTATGGTGGAGAGATACATGCAGGGCATTGTAAGGCAAAATAGTACATTTTTAGGTTTACATCTATTTTATCTTTATCAACAATACTTATGAAGTCCCAAGGATGGATATTGCTTGTTTTGGACAGCAAATAAAATGACTATATTTGTACTGTGGAAATCACAGCCCCTGGTTCTTATCACTACTATTGTGAAGAGATCTGAGTCAGTATGTTTCTCTACAGTGTGCTATTTCACATTAAACCACTCTGAATGACTTTGTCAATGACTGAATTTGCAGAAAGTTAAAAAAATTGGTGGAATTTTCTTTTATGCTTTGTGACAAAAGCATCCCTGCAAGACCTCTAGGAGAAAAAAAATAGCAGATGAAAATTTGTTCATTGGTAATTCTGGAGCGCACAGCAAACTGGCCATTTTGCATGCTGTATTCTTAATTTTTTTACTTTTTAAAGCTGTCTAGAGTCATTTAATATAACTGTGTACTGTGTGCAGGCGAGTGATATATATCTGCGTGTGAGAGAGAGACAGACAGAGAGAGAGATGCCATAGCCTAAGGGACACTGCGTGACAGAGCTGGCACTGTTAAAATGAAGGTAGCATGCAAGACTAGTAGCATACTAATACTAGAACCAACAGTTCAGCTTCTATTATCTTCATCTGAAACAATATCACTTCATAGTGACAATCATACTTTTCCAGATGTAATAGCAAATATACAGCTCTGAAAATCTACATTCAAACACTGGAACGAAAATACTGCAATGAAGGATTTTATACACTGGCAGAAGGAAGGAATGATTGTCAATGCTGAACAATGTAGGCTTGTTCCATAATTATAATATCAATTTACTTGCTTATACATATTATCCTTACATTATATGTACAGTGATAAAGGCTTTTACTAGCATTATACTACTGTTAAATTAATTTCATACATAAGCGTATCCACTTTCTCTTTGCTACTTATCTGCATTCACTCACCTTCGTTCATGTGCTTTGGAACTACTTTTTTTAGTTATTCCAGTAAAGCTGAACTGGACTGAACTGGATGAGGGGGGATGCCGATGTGTAACAGCAGGAATGTGATTGATTATGGGTCACTGCTTTTGAACAGAGAGCATGCAACACATTCCCACCATCTGAACGACTCTCTCTGAGCAGACATTATGCAATATAAACAGCTGCTTATTAGAGACTCTATTTCTGACCTGTCAGTTGTCATATGTCTTATATGTATCTCATCTCTACTCCTGTACTTGTATGTTAATGGAGGAACCACCAGTAAGATATAATAATGTTACATAGCTCTGTACTTTACACTGCTTTCCAAATTGATTTTTTAAATTTGTGTAAATAGCATGCTCTCAAACATTAATGCGTTCAAGCAGAATTGTTCAAAATCTCTGCAAATCTCTGTTCAATTGTTGAGATGTAAACAGTCATTCAGAGAGGTCTGATGTGAAATGGTGCACTGTAGAGAAACGTACTGACTCTTTCTTTATAATGTCTACAGATTTCTTTACATTGGTGATGATACTAGAGGCAGTAATGTTGACAAATATAGCCATTGAAAAAAACATGCTGTATGTACCTCTCCGCCCTGTATGTTTTAGGCCAAAACTTTATCTCAAAACTTATGTAAATTAATGTCTCAGGCATCAAACAGTGTAATTATAACAAGTTCATGTAATAATCTAAATGTAAATTAGCTTACTTTAAGAGGCATTGTAGACTTTGGACTATTGGTTCCTATCACCACTGCTGATTCTCTAGTATAGAGCATTTCACATCAAAATTATCTCTCAATAACATCTTCTTATCTGGTCATCTATCTGAAGATTTAATCACTGTTTGTGAAATGTGCGGCATTACGGACGCTAATGTTATTATAATTCTAGATGTTATACAGCTCTGTTCATCATTGTGGACACATAGAAAACTTTTCTTAAGGTTATTTGAAACCTATGATTCCATATTTATGATGGAGGACATAAAGCATCAGTTTGGAGTGGTCAACAATAGGTCCGTGCTTTACGGTCTGTCTGTAAACATGCCTCCTATAGTGCATTAGCCTAATGTCCCCCACCCCCAGTTTTCCACCTCCCCTCCCCGTCCCATCCCTCTAACCTCTTCCCCCTGGTGCCGTTGGCTTCCTACCATGCAGGGCAAAGAAGAGCGGCGGTCAGCAGTGGAGCGTGAGGGCCTGCGGAAGCTCCTCTTCCTCTCTTTGGCCGGCTCCTCTCCGGCCCCATGACCCCAATAACTGCTCATCCACTTCGTGAAGTTTCCATCATCATCCTCATCATTGTCCATGATGATGGCGGGCAGCAGCCGCAGAGACAGCTTGAGGGCCGGTGTGTGGAGCTCCCGACGGGGCTCCTGACCTCTGGGTGGGAAAACTAGACCTCGACAGGTTAATCCAAATCGGATAGCCGCACAGGTCTGTGCTAGATCGGTGACTCTCACACTGGATGAGCTGAAGCGCTCTCTCTGGGTGCTGGAGAGACGGAGCTTGAGTCCAAAGAATGGCCTGTACTGGACCAGACAGGGCAGGGCAATAAGTTGTAATTAGATCCCTCGGGTTGGTTAGGTGAGCTCAGTGTGCAGCGTTTGTTGCCCTAAGCCAACCCAAAAATAAACACACACTCCCAGCTTTGTCCAAGTCTTTAAATAGGCGAATCCCCTGTAATCAGTTTAGCATCAGAGAATAAGGGAGAGGGATGTAGTAGAGGGAGAGAAAGAGAGACTACTAATGGGTGGAGGCAAGAATCTGAGTGGATGGGGTATGTGTGTTTGTGGGGGGTGGGAGGGGGGATCTGCTTTTAAAATCTTTCCATTACAGAGCGCAGAGCCTAGAGGGCCCAGTCACACGCACACACACTCACACACACACACGCGCACACACACACACTGAAACACCAATTTTCCCATACTTTCCACTGGTTGAGCACATGAAGTCTGCCAATAATTATGGACTGCAACAGCGAAGACCAGATTGTGTAGAGTATCTGACTGCAGGCATCATTTACTCTTTGACAACTACAAACACACAATACTCTGTACAAGTAATTGGGTCATACAGTATATACTGAATGATCAATATGTGACTCTATCTGTAGTACTGTGCCAAAGTCAGAGAGAGAGATCTTATATTTATTTAATTCCCAGTTAAAGTGACTATAAAGTTAAAGTTAAAAAAAATATTCATTTTTCAGCATATATTTTTGAGGAGATAAGATATAAGATAATGTGCTTGAATAAGGAAGGGAAAGTCAAAGGAAAATGGTGAAAAAACAGAAGTTTTCAAAACTGTATTAAAAGATGTAGAGAAAATGGGGCTCTTAACAACCATGCAAGACCTGGTAGACCACCAAAACTGTCACCATCAGACAAACAGTACTTAAACTTTCATCTTTGAGAGAGAGGAGAAAATCAAGCTACACTCTTGCTTCAGATGTGAAAAAAAACACAGGTGTTTCTGTCCATCCTTCTACTGTGAGAAGACAGCTCAACACTATGAGTCTGGATGTGTCAAGAAGCCATTACTGAGAAAAGGAAATAGACAAATAAGCTGCTGGTGTTCTCAGAACAATGGACTGACCGCCCCAGAGTCCAGACCTCAAAATCACTGAATGTGTTTGGGATTACTTGGATTGTAAGACGCAGAAAATGCAAACAATTTCGAAGATGTAACTTTGGAGGTTGAGACTTTAGTCTGATTATCTGTTAAATATATGTTTTCTGCTGTTTTTCTGATGCTGAAAAATAAAGAAAGTTTGTGCCAGCTCACATTCAGCTTGGCAATCCTGCATCTGATCTATTGCAAGCTAGCACCACTGAAGTATGTCAGCAGTGAGAAAATGGTCCAGTAAAGCATGTGGACTCATTCTAGCTGATACTGGCATAATAGCCTCCTTCTCTTTGTAGCTGGTATATTTTGGGCTGACCCTGTTATGGAGAATATGAAAAAACCCTTCATAAAGGAGCAATCTGGGGCACTCAGCAACCTCCCTGCAGCTCTGTCTACTGTCCTGCTCCAGTTGTTCATACCGCCATCCCACAGGGCAGCAGACTGTACAATATAAGAGGCCAGAGACGTGTGTAATATAGAGCACCTGTTGTGCGTCATGCTGTATTGGTAGACTACATGACCTCTGGGTCACATAATCATGTCATTTAGTCTAGTCTGTCTGTTTTAAAATCAGATAGAGAGTGATCTTTACCAAAAATGTAATAATGTAAGAGAAAGAATGTAAGAGAAGTCTAATATTGTTTATTTAATAGAAATTTGCCAAGACAGCCTGTCCTCAATCCTGGTCCTGAAGTACTGTACTTCTCTGGCCTGAGTTTCCAGAAAGTATCTTAGCACAAAGATGATTCTTGAATGCTAGAGTGATCATCACACTGAACACTCTCTTGACTGGTTTAGATGATCTTAATCCTAAGATGCTTTTGGGAAACTGGATCTTGCATAGTTTTCACTTCTCTTATACACCGAATTCAGCTTAACCCCTCAAACCCCTGACTCAGTATTGAGCAGCTACTCAGTTATAAAACTCTAAAATCTGAAAATCTGGTTGGCTAAGCCACATTCAGACGTGTTGTAAAATGCACAGTATGACATAACCCCCCCCCCGAGATTCTCCTCCTCAACCCATGAGGTTTCTGTCACCAGGATTTTGAGAGGCCTTTTGCTCACCTTTCACATTTCATTAGTGTAATTAGTAGACTTTATAAGGCAAGCTGAACAATAGCTCTTTGAGAAGTCTTGGTTGTTTGTCCTTTCACATCTGAGGTTTATTTTTCATTAGTTATATCTCAGTTACCATCTTTTTTGCCTGGCTTCAGGGATACTTACTTATGGACTGTGATTTTGATTTGGATGTGTTTTTTGTCTGCCGTTTTGACATTGTCTTTGTTTTATTGGAATTATGGAGATTGGAATAGAAACCTTATAATTAATGCCAAATTACTTACTAAACATTAGTGTATTTTATTATTATTTTTGAAGGCATCTAAAAACTCCTCTCCTATTAACCCTCTTTATCATCATCTCTCATAGCTTCTTGTTTATTAGGCTGTTTAGTAACAAAGAATTAAGGTAAAAACAACAGGATCAATCCCAATGATATACACTATATGTCCAGATGTATTCAGACACTTCTTCTAAATAGTAAATTCAGCTACTTTAAAGTGTGCTTATTACTAACACAGGCATTTAAATGTGGACACACAGCTTGTATAATTGCCATAGAAGTCATTGCCAATACAATGGGATATTCAGGATAGCTGCACATGAGCCTCAGGTCAATGGCAAATGTTGGCTTGAAGGGTATAAAGCCCTAAAGCATTGGGCCAAGGAGCAGTGGAACTGTGTTCTTTGGTGTGATGGAGTTCCATTCAATGCCTACCATTAATGCTTTTATGGCTGAGTGCAACTGAATCCTCGCAGCAATGTTCCAAAATCTACTCTAGAGTTGTCCCAGAAGAGTAGAGGCTGTTATTGCAGCAAAGGAGGGATAAACTCCTTATTAATGCCCTTGATTTCTGAAGAAATTTTGGATGAACAGGTGTTGGCAGTATAAAGTAAACATAAACAACATTAAGTAAACACTAAACATTTTTCGGAATGTCTGTGGAAGGCTTGGGTTCCAACAGAGTTTTCCGACATGTGAAATGTCCTCATGAGAGGTTCATGGCAAAGTTTCCTCACCTGGTCTGGCCCACTCAGACAGAGCTTAAACTTTCACCTAAAGGTTGTCTCAGGACAGAAACACTTGAGTTATCTGTGCTATTCTCAGTATTCTCAATCTTCTTAAAGTTATACCGTTAGAGAGGGGCGTCTTTAGATGTTCATGGATGGGGGACTAAGCCTGTACTAGGGGAGTCTGGGGGCATGGTCCCCAAAGAGAATTTTTTTTATGTTTATAATGTACTTAGAGAGTAGCAACAGCCAGAAAATGTTGAGTACATCAAAAATGGTTATTTGGTCAAATTGGCACACAGTAGATCCGTCTCTTCATAGTTTGTATTAAGCACCAAGAAACCAAGTCAGTCAGGCAGTGGTCTCTCCTCTCTTTTACATAAGCTGTAATGTCCTAAACATATTATTCAAACACACAGATTATAGATCAGTTCAGTCTGACTTTGCTCTGTAGGCATGTTTAATAAGCTATATGACAGAATTTCATAGTCATGGTGACAAACACTATATTTTCTCAGTAAATTAAATTCAGTATTAATTTTAACTGAAAGCTTAAACAACTCTCCCTCACTTTCTTCTTGATCACTAACCTCCATCAGATCTGCTCCTTCAGTCCTGTCAGTCTCCTTCAGCTTCTTTCTCTCCCTCTCTACCTGTGTTTAGTAATACATTATTTTTTATTAAACTCAGATTTACAAGAACTTAAGGAAATAATTATCAATCATTTTTTTTTAACTGGTTAAAATCTTCTCATCTGACTGGCCTTTGACAGAGCTGCTGCCTGTTAATTGCAATCTACAGAGTAAGGAACTGTGGGATGTAAAACTGTGTTGTGATGACCTTTTCACACAAAGCTAAAGTCAGCTTCGTGTTTGAATTTTCCACCTTAAATGCTGTAGCAGTTTTATTCTGGCGCCTCGCAACGGAAAATTCCAACAGGAATCTGGTGAATAGCGAGCAAATTCAGCCTCGTCCTTTTCGCTGACATTAACATACTGTAAACAACATATGGCAAATACTGGTGTCACTGTTTCCAAATACTGAAGAGAAATCTTAAAACAAAGAATATAAAAAGCTGTCAATAACATTATTTCTATCCCTCTTGTTCATTCATTCTCACACTCACTATAAAGTGAAGTTAAACCACAGACTTTATGGGTGAAACTAGTTGGCTTGTCAGCTAGTTAGCTAATGTTAGCACTAGCCTAGCCTCTTTTCTTTACCTCACTTAAACCCAAAGTAAGCTAAAGTTAGTGTTCTAGAGTTAACAAGCAACCAAGTAAAAACAGATATCCAGAGAGAACATATAGACCATATAGAATATATAGAAGGAAATTAAAAAATTCAGAAATGGACATTAATGGGTTAAATTGTGACTGTTCTCAGAGAAATTAACTAAGGGAGTAGCTGAATTTTAAACTTGAAAATATTAATTGAAGGTGCATTTTATGTTGATGTAACCAAGACTGTAAATGCTCACTCTATGTCTTCTTATTGAATAGAAATGTGTGGCATAATTACATTATGTTCAAACAGTGATGTATATTGTGAAGTGTTCTCTCTGATACTGATTCCAGGACATTTGAGAAGTATTCTATACTTCTGTAGTTAAAATAAATATATTTACAGAAATAAATATTAGAAAGTTAATATGACTTAAATGAGTTTACTAAGGCTGTGACTTTGTGAAGTTCAGTTAAGGTGTCTCCACACACAGAACAACTGCCGACCTCATAATACCTAAACAGCAAGAGATGTTCAGTGTTGCTTTCTACAAATAGCTTCTGATAATGAACTTAGAGTGAGAAAAGTAGAAAGTGTATCTAAACATAGTCTCAATCCTGGCTACGGCCTATCACAGAAGCAGATCAGAGTAAATTGGAGTATACAGGCCTATAATTGTCTCAGCAGGCCCAGGCCCCTGTGGGTGTTTACTTAGGCCTGAGAAAACCTCTTGACACAGTTCATAGCACTATTGTACCATGCCCTGGTGCCACACAGCAAACAGCCAAGACAGAAATAACCTTGCATTCCTCATGAGTTACATTTGGACCTACATAATATGAAGTCTGTGGAGATGAAATTGGTTTATTCTGGCCTTAGTCTGGGAACCACTGTGAGATTTAATATGACCAGACTGTCTACATTGGAACAGGTCCTCTGACATGTGCATAAACAAGATATCAGCCTTGACCCTGTCACATAACAGTATTTTTTCAAGCACAAACAGAGATTGATTGTGTCTCGTGTTCTAGCTGATAGCAACGATTGACCAGAGATGTCCACGGCTGAGTGCGTGGTGTGTTGGATTGCATGTGTCAGCTGGAGGCTGTAGATACAGTATTGAGGACACTCTGAACCACTGAGCAAACTTACTGTCTATAAAAAATGCACTGATACTTGATTCAAATGTGTACATCATTTCCACATGAATACGCCATTTTAGATCAACACAATTTTTGCCAAAATTCTGTAAATTGAAGTAAAAAATTGTGTTAATATATAGTATTTCATTCATGTGGAAATGTTCCTATTCAAATCAAAAATTTTCAATGCAGGATACTGTATTTGGCTGCCAATAGTTATCTATAGCCAAAGTATTAACAGTGAAAATACAAACTTCACTTCCAAAAGAAGTTGAGGTAGTATGTGAAATGCAAATAAACACAGATAAATGTAACTCGTTACATTTACTCAAGTACATGTACTTTAGTAAAATATTGATGGATTTGTACTCTCTTTAGTATTTTCAAATCATAATAATTTTACTTCTACTTCAGTATATCAGTGAGCCATTCATATTTAGTTACTAATTCCTTTTTTGTGTTTTTCATTAGTACTTTTTTGGCAACAACATCTGTACTGCTTTGTGATTGGTCCATCTCTGGCGTTTCTGAAATTTAGCACTTCATTTTAGGTCAAAAGAATCCAAAAAAGACTAGAGTACAGCTGTCCAAGCTTCCTTCAGTTCCTCTGCTGACAGATGCTGGATTTACTAAGAAGTTCAGTTGCAGTTCTGTAAGTTACTCAGTATTTAATAATTTTTGTCCTGGGACTTTTGTATTTCTGCTGAAGCTATTTTTTGGTAAGTACTTTTACTTTTATTTGAGTCATCATTTTACCCAAGTATTAACACTTTTACTTGAGTATTGGTTTAGGCTACTCTACCCACCTCTGCCAGCATGCTTCTGCGATAGTCATCACAGATATCACATATCATGAGTTTGGGAATACTTTGACAAACCATTGTAATAAACACTGAAATTGCATCCACAAAGGCAAGTTTAGACTGTACATTATGCAGAGCTGAAGCCATATTATGTCAAAAATGTTCAGAAATGCAGTTTCCTGGGTTCAGACTCAAGATGGACTGGTGCACAGCGCAAGCCGTGTATTGTGGTCTGACCTTTCAGATTGTTTATGGTTAATAATGGACACTGTGTTCTCTGGGCCAGAGAAGGAAAGGACCATCCAGATTGTTTCCAGTATAAAGTCCAAAAGCCAGGGTCTGTCATGGTGTGAGGGTGTGTTAGTGTCAATGGCATGGGGAACTTGTGCATGTATGAAGACATCATTAACACCGAAAGATTTATACATATTTGGAGCAACATATGCTTCCTTCTAGACAATGTCTATTTCAGGGGCGTCCATGCTTATTTCAACACGACAACACCAAACTGTATAATCAGCCAGTGTCGTTGCTAGACTGGCCTGCCAGCCCGACTGAAAACATGTGGCTCATTATGAAGCTCAGGGTACAACAACGAAGACCCCAGATGAAGACTTGTATAACAGAAGAACGGGAAAAAATCTGCTTTCAAAATGAATGGATTGGTGTCTTCAGTCCCCAAATGATTATTAAGTGTTGTTAAAAAGAAAGGTGATGTAACACAGTGATAAATATCCGATGATCCCACCTGTTTTGGAATGTGTTGCAGGCATCAGATTTGGATGTATATTTGTGTTATATAACCAGTATATGCTCACTGTACTCATTTTGATTGAAAAAAAAAAGTTTGGTGTGAATGAGCATATATTTAAAAAAAAAAATGCAAAAATGAACAAAACTTTAGTGACTTACTAATTTGTCATGGTTGATTCTGAAACATTGCATATGAGTAAGATCGTTTAAAAATGCTTGTGCTCTGTTAAAAGCAATATACCATCAAAGAAAATATCTCTTTAAGGACAAGTGCTGATTTATTGCACACATAATATCCAATAACCCTTTTTATCAGCACTAAGAGACTCACTCCAATATAAACAAGTACTATGAGCTTCACTGTGAGGTATACAGAGCAACACTATTTGTCAATGGCGGCCTGTAGCTTTTAGATGCCAGCAGGTTGCTGGAGCTCATTAGGGTGGAGGACAGAAGGCCTTGGGGCAGAGGGATTGAATAGTCTGACTGCTCACACTGGCATCACGATCAAACACGCGCAGGAACTGGACTCAGAGGAAACTGAAACTAGACTTTACAGCATAAAACCATGTTAGAATGAATACATTTTAGAGTAAATAGATACACCATTCAAAGGTTTGAAATTAATATTTTCAATAATGTAAATGTATTGTGTATATAAAATTATTCTAATTTGATACTAGTTCTATGCAACTTCATAGGTTTCAAATCATTTGTAGAAAGCCATCAAATTTGAAATGTGTCAAAAATGATAAACAAAGCTGCAGATGACTGAAAAATCTGTAAAGCAGTGAGGATTACCTTACATTAAATGAACACTCAGAATGCCACATATTAGCAGTGATCAACTTTTGAGGCTGGCATTTTGTCCAGTATCAGTTATTTGATATATGAAATAAAACATTTAAAAATATCTTGTGGTTTCTATTTTATGCTATTCAATTCTGTAAAAAAATATAGAAAAAAGAGCAAATATGACAAGTAATTTCAAACTTTTGGATGACATGATGTTTTATTATTTTTTTTTCACAGCATGATTGACAGTTGTAGCATTTCAATTTATCAAAAATAACAACCTGTCCATCAGTTCAGGGGGTTAAGAAGTACATTTGTATGCAGGTCATCTATCTGACACTGGATGAGAATGACCCACTATCAGATAAATGCGACTAGAGTGAACACTGCTCTCAGACCAACATTTCACAGAGCCAATACTTGTAGTTAACATGAATAAGTGTTTCATCAAGTATATTTTATTTCATGTATCTTATCCCAGTTGTTTTAAAGGGAAATTCTGTTTGCATAATTAAGTAGTTGAGACATAAACAAAGTCATTCAGAGTGGTTTGATGTGAAATAGTTCATTTGTAAAGAAACTTACCAAGTCAGATTTCTTTACAGTGGTAGTGTCCCGATGTCTACAACACAAATATAGCCATTTTATTTGCTATCCAAAACCACAGTGAAACTTATGAGTTTTCATATGTAATGTTGATGATGGTAAAATAGTGGCAAATCCTAAAAAAATAAATTTCTTTGAGGACTATTTTGTCTTAGAACACTCTTCATGAATCCCCCCACCATGAATAGATTAAAAATAATTAAAATACGTTTTTGTCCAAAACCTCACAAAACTACCGTCTGTCTCAGACATAAGCATTCATACGTCTGGTTCCTATCACCACCACTGTGAACAATACTGACTCTGTAAGTTTCTGTAGAGCATTTTACACTAAAAGACTCTGAATGCCTTTGTTAACATCTTAACCATTTAATTAAACAGGAATTTTGAGAGCGGTGTTTCCCTTTAAATTCCGGTTTGCACAGCAACGGGACTTTTATTTTGATCCCCCACATTTCTGACCAGGAAAGACTTTTTTTGTTCCCTTGCTCGTTTGACACTGGGCATTAGAGCGCTTGCAATGCCCTTGTTAGCGAGAAGGCTATCTAATGCCCCCCATCTGGAAAGATGAATTACAGTTTGTTTTGAAACAAGATCCCGTATACCTCAACATACACCCTTAATTCTTCATACCAACATGTTACGAGCTGGAAGTGCTGTTGCCTGGTAAGATACACTCCCTCTGTCCACCTTGCTGCTTAACTCAGTTCAGCGATAGACTGAAGCTAACAGCATTTCATCGGTTAAATTCAGAGAGAACCGGCTCTGGGCAGCCCGGCTAGTTCTCGAGCTTGGAGGGTGTATATACATTACAGGTGGTGCTGACGATATAAGTGTGCGCAAGTCATATAATGTTATGTTTGCACCTTTTTAAACAGTGGTTTTGTGTCTAGTTACCTGATCTAACGTGACATCTAGCAGGCTAGCAGATCGCCATTCAGCGGTCCGTGACAGGAGCCAGTGCTTCACAGCTGCACACCCACCCAGCTAGCCAGCTAATCAAACATGACAGACCCCCTGCCTCTGTCAAACACAGTGGTCGTGACTAAGATGGTTTTACATTAAAGATAACTGTGAATTCTTAGAGTAGTTAGCTGGGTAGTTGTGAATAGGTGTGTTACAGTTAAACGTCGCTAGCTACTTAGCTAAATAGCTAATGTAGCGATAACGTCAGTGGTGTTAGCAAACGACTGTTATTCATGTTCAGTCAGTAGACTGTCAGCATGTTTACTAGTCTTTCTTATCACGTTTAGTTAGTTAGTGATGTGTGGGGCAGGGCTGTTCAAGGATGTTCAAGCACGACACTTTGCTTATATTGGGCGTACAGTGTATAAATACGGAGGCATATGTATCCAGAGAGAGCAGTTAATTCACAGTTCCTTATGGATCCAAACGTTAAAAAGGTAACCGTTATAAAGAGAGCTGTCAGCGACAGTCTTTGGCCATCCTCCATTGTGAGCAGTATCAAGACTGTCCTAAACTCACCCTTCTGAATATCGGTTGCAGTGATCTAAGTGGACTCTGATTACGGTTGTTCCGTTTATGCAAGTCTTTCATATCTGTTAGCCTGTTTTCTTACGGTGGAGACATGAGCTGATGAACCTGTGCAGCATGGACGTTTAAAACTGACAGCTTCAGTTTACATGTTCGGTATAGCCCTTCGTTTTTCCAAATTTACAAATATCTTTTATCCTTGGGGTCAGTTTGACCTCAGTAATTTAAACCTCAGGGAAATGTCAAAGTTCTGGTGGGAATTATTGTTTTCCCCTCTCCTATCTGTAGTTCTCGCACTCCTACAGGCTTGGTTATGGGCCCCAAAGCAGAGAAAGTTTTTGAAGATTATAAAATTGCATGTTATAGTGACCTCGACATTATCCTAAACAACCAAATCAAATGTTTACAAAATGTTGATATTTCTTATGTTTTGTACAGCTAAAACAGCGTGGGTTCAGACTGACCTCAGAGAACACTGATGAGTACAAAATGTGTACAGGACAATGGAAACATATCAGCATGTTAATTTTATGTGTACCCAGTTATCCCCATTATATTCGGAAAAGCCATTAAATATGAGGCAAAAAAGATTTCACTAATTTCTTTAAACACTGAATAGGGTCAAATTGACCCCAAAGATAATAGATAATATGAGGGATAGAGATGGCATATCTGTACGTGGGTATGGGGATGATATCATTGGAAAATGCTGTAATGGATATGGGGAAATAAGAATGAATCCAATTCTGTAACAAATCTAGCCTAAAACTCATGTTGTGTCATCTAATGTTAACTATTTTTTCTTCTTGGGTAGGAGTGTCAGTCGTTTAAGCATGATGGCCTACTTTCAGATGCTCGTCTTAAGTGAAGTGCCTCAGTTAAAAATAACTCATTTTTAAATGTATTAAATTTCACAGAAAAAGATGTTGTATCGGTGTTGGTGTTGTTTGATACTCAAGATTTCAGAACTAGTATTGTAAAAGAAAAGTGGTATTCTGCAGTCTCTTGCTCATAGTTTTGTACAAAGTTCTTGAAGTAAACCACTATGAACTTGAAAATTTTGACTTAAACTGTTACAGTATAATTTATAACCCAAAAAGGTGCAGATAATTGTAGTAGGCCAACATTAACCCAAATGCTTCATTCCTTTTCCTCCTCAGTGTGGCTTGCAGGAATCTGCTCCCTTCCAGAATGGGGGTGAGGTTCCGGCTGCCTCTGCAGAAACTACACCCGCTCTCTCGTGCCATCCACCACCGCTACTCATCCAATAGCAACCCCCAGAGGCCCCCTCACTGTTCAGCTGCGCGCCATTTCACCTCCCTCTCCAGGCTCCCCATGCGTCCCCCAAAGTCTCGATCAGGAAGCCACGGCTACCAGCAGCAGCGCTCCTTTTGGGTAGCCCGTCTGGCTGCTAGGCTGCTGAAGCTGCGCTACATTCTGCTGGGATCTGCTGTCGGAGGAGGCTACACTGCTAAAAAGGTACTGTGACTCTTTATGTCGTCCACTTCACTGTCATTAAGAGACCAGTCGGGTAAATAACTATAACTATAGTTGTCAGAAAAATTTGATAGTATCATAACTATCATATAGTGATAATATAATTAAACAGATTGTGTTTTGTCAGTGTTTCAGTCTGATTTAGGGCACTTTCCCTTTTGTTTCTAGAAATTAGGCTTAAAGGTATACAATGTGAAGCAAAGCTCCTTTGCTGTGTTTTTTGGTAAACTAATCATCTTAACTCTCTATGGTTGATGAACACACCCGCATGTCAAATTCGATGTTTCTCAATGGTTCTATATATGTTTCTCTATCTTTGCGATAATAGAGCATAGAAATATGGTTCAAACATTTCCTGAATCTTTAGAGTCGCTCTTTTGATTCCATCATATCACAAGATCATATGTGACTCAGATCTGGACTTATGAGGCTATGAAAGAGGTTGAGATACACGTCATCTGCCTCTCACTGTGTGTAATTGGTGGATTCATGTGCATTTTGCATGAAACCGATCAATGGACACTCAGGAAATCACTAAGGACTTACCCATCACATCGGACACCCTTCATTGTTTATTCAGTTCACATTGGAGACGCATGTAAAGTGGTGTGCCAGAAATTGTTTTTGGAAAGCAGAGACGAAGATAACATAGCATTTTGATTTGAATCAAATCAAATGCATCTTGTTATATGCAAGTGCCTTCACATGAATTTAAGAAGATATGCAAAAATCAAGAAAATGCCCTTAGACCCCAGAGAGTTAATGTACTATTGCGTAGCTCTGTTTCATTTCCTTTTTTTCTGAGAGATTACTAATGCCACATTTGACAATACAATGGCCACAGTTTTTAATTTAGTCCCATAAGGAGGCTCCTAATGAAACACTTTTAATGAATGCAGCCTAACAAAACAGTGTACATTCTGTGTACAATACAAACTATGTGATTTGACCTCTGTTAGCTTGACTGCCTCATGTTTGCAAAGTATATATAACAGCATAAACAGCCTGTTTCAGATCAAACAATGTTTTCTAGCGGTGCAGTGTCTCTTGTTGGAAACATACAGTACTGTGCTAAAATCAGGCCAGCCTTTCATTCATTTCATTTCTAATCAAATAGGCCATTAAGTGCAAGTTATTCATTGTTCAGCATCAAGAAGCAGAAAACATGTATTTAACAAAAATTACACAGAAGCCTAGACAACTATTTATAATGCCAGATTTTCCAATATACGGTGTGTCCACTCTTTGCCTCCATTCTTTTCAGGACACTTGCTTTTGGTTTTTCAAAGAAATCTACAGGAATATTTTTCCCCACTTCCCACTACTCATTACGCAGTCTATTCTTAGAAGTTGGTTGTCTTTTTCTACTTCTCACAATCCATGTAATCTCAATTATGAATTAGTCCATGTCCAGTTTCGGTGTTCTAGAGAAAGTTTTCTTCTTGACAGCTACACGTCTTTTCAGACCCATAGTGTTTTTGCTGGTCTACCAGGTTTTGCATATTTGTTAGGTGTCTTATTTTCTCTAGATCTTCTAATTGTTTTTTTAAACTCTGGTTTTTAAAAAACTTTTTTTAAAATCTATTTTATTTCCCTCTTCCTAACGCAAGTTGATTACCTTATATGTAATCTTCTAAAAAATATCTCCTTTTTAGATACACATGAGAAAGAAATTTGCAAGGCAGCTTATCAATGTTTGGTTAGTTGATTGTGTGGTCAGTGTCTCTTTGAAAGGGAAAATAATGTCAATATCACATTTAGTAACAGCTTTTAACACAGCTATAACTTGTTGGTTTTAAGACTGGGAGGATGTAAGAGTTAAAGTGGCAATAGGTGCACAACAGTAAAAAGTGGACAAATGAAATTTGAGGCTTCTGTGTAATTTTCTGTTAAATATGTTTCCTGCAGAAAAATATCAACTTGTAATTACTCGTTGTTTTGAGTGGAAATTGAATAAATAAAATCTTAATAAAAATTATTTCAGGCTTTATTCTTTACACATGAGTTTGCTCTGTGGATATGTGCTTATGAAGGTTTAGTAGCTTTAATGTTGTATAACATGAAATGTTATAATTTGTCAGTGGTCATGACCTTTTCTCTGATCTTATTTCTAAAATGTTTGTCTTCCTCTTGCTCTGTAGACATATGATGAGTGGAAGGATATGATTCCTGATCTAAGCGAGTACACATGGGTAGTGCCTGACTTTGTTTGGGAATTGACTGAAAATTTTGACTTAGGTAAGTAGTACTAACATTTTAACACTTAATCATTTTATTTTTTTTTAAATATATTTATATAAAATGTGTGTCATGCGTAAAATGCAGCTTGAAAGTATGCTAAGCGACTCAGTATTTCAGCAGGATCCCTGTGCTTTGCCATCAACCTTGATTTGTTGTTTTATGATGTGTTGGTACAGATGCACTATTGTACATTTCAGTGATGTTACTAAAAATAACAATATGTCCCTCCTCTCTTAATCAAGACAAGCTAGCCAGTGTTTTGCCTGAAATGGAGGAGATTGCTAAGCTGCTGCCAGATATGGAGAAGATTGGAGAAAACTTCACCTTCCTCAAGAGTCTTCTTTCCAGTGGTGAGTGAAATGTACACTCTGTGATTATCTCAGGAAGGAGACTTCTGATACTGGCACCTTTAGGCCTTAATCGAGAATTCCTTGTCTTTGGTGCTGCAACAGCTTTGGACTAAAGGAGTGCTAACCTATTTGGTACTGAAAAACACTCGCACTGCTACAGCGTAGCTAAGTTGTTAGTATCACTTATTTTAAACATATCTATTATGCGAGAATTACTATGTGCACAAACAGAAGCATAGCAGTGTTGTTTCTAGTGCTAAACATTCAATCCAAGAATGGTTCATTGCTACACAATTCATGGTAGTAGATTTGAACATGAGTCAAATTAATCTCTTGTTTTACAGAACATGAACATTAGAAATGCAATAAATAGTAATTATAATTCTGTCTCAGGTTTGTCAGAGGCTATTCATTCACATAATTAACATTTTATCTGATTGCAGTAGCGAATTTAATGAAAATTGATTGCTTTTTGCAGAATCACTGCTTCTCTAAAATGTCAGTGGTTTTGACCTGAATGTATCTCAGCTTATGCTTATAACAGTGTTTAAGAATGCTATCATAATTGACCGTTTGCAAAGTTCTAAGTAAGTTCCACCTCTTTTAGTAATTGTCTCAATGTCCGTCAAACTCACAGCTTGGAATACCTGATGGTATCCATAACAGACTGTAATGTTATGTAATGCTAGCCAACTTAGAGCAAACAAAATGGGATTCTGGAAACATTAATCAAAGCAGGGAAATTGTTTAGTCAGTTGAAATTAAGCTGTAGGTTTCTGTAGGTCAATAAGGAGGAAGTTACCCCTTCAGATGCACTAACACTAAAACAAAATGCTAAAGCTCGATTGGGAGCAAAATTCAGCCCTGGACTTTTGTGTAGACTAGCCCACTACAACCACAGTGACCAAAAACCAATAGACTAAACAAACTGGCTAATGTACCCTGTCTGTGCTTTGGCCCTGCGGTTCTTTCCTCTAATATCCATTCAAATTGTGTACTTTAATTTTTTTCATTTCTTGGCCCTGTTTTTTTTATTTTTTTTATTTATTTATTTTTTTTTATAAATCACCCCTACCTTTACCCTTTTTGGAGGTATTGTAGTGGACCACTGACATGTTTAGAAATGTGCACTCCAGTATTTGCCCATCAGATTATGTTTGTCCTGGCCGCTCTCCATACATATTATATAGGGCTACATTAGAAATGACTATGCATTTCTTTATTTCTCACTCTTTCAGCCGCCCACACACATGGCAGCCTACCGTCTCAGTCCTCCCGGTGACCAGTCCATCCCTGACTGGAGCTAGTTGACAAAAAGTTGGGACATTTTGTAAAATGCAGTAAAAACAAGAATCTGTGGCTTGTTAATTCTTGTGAAACTTCAACTTAATTGTATTTTGTAAATATAAACAAATTTAGAATTTGATGCCTGCAATACAGTTAAAAAAGTTTTGGGACAGAGCCATGTTTATCACTGTATTACTTCACCGTTCCTTTTAGTTTGTTTAGGAGCAGAGGATACTAATTGTTGCAGAGATTTTTACAATATTATGTACCGTAGATAGTGACACCTAAATTCTTTGCTATCTTGCATTGAGAAATGTTCTTTTTGAATTGTCTGAAATTCTCTCGTAAAGTTTGGCACAAAGTGGTGAGCCACAACTCATCTGTACCTGCAAAGACATTGAGTCTTTGGTGGATGCTTCTTTTACACCCAATTATCATATATTAACCTGTTATCAATTCACCTGCTTATTGTGGAATGTTTTAAAACAGCGTAACTTAAATATTTTATAAAATTTTCACTCTTATTTTGCCCTGTTCCAGCTTTTTCAGTGTTGTAGGCATAAGATTCAAAATTTGTTTACATTTACAAAATACAACCAAAATGGTCATACAAAACATTAAAAGTCATTTCTTTGTACATTTGTCAGTTAAATAAACGTTCAAGAAAATTAACAAATCACAGATGCTTGTTTTTATTCCATTTTACACCATGTCCCGACTTTTGTGGAAATGAGCTTTAGACGTCTTTTTTACACAAGGACTTTCAGTAATTTTTTTTTAACATTACAAACAACAGTATGTGTACAACTGCTTTAATATTTGTCTTTACATACAGTCCTTTAATCACAGATGTGAGTGCTGTGCAGTCCTGTTTAATCTAACTGACTAACTGTAAGCAGCTAAATTAAGAAAGCTAAATAGTTAGCTAACTTTAATTTTTCAGTAACATTATTAATCATTAGGCGTCATATTAAAATGATTTTTAGAAAATGCCGTAACCAGATAAAGCTTAGCTTACCTAAGGGCCAGTATCTGTTAATAGTTTTGACACTGAGCTATGAGTGTTGTCTTCCACAGAGTTTAGTCCAACGCTTATTCAGCTTCAGGAAGGAAATAAAAACAGCACCATTTTCCAGATGATCAGTGTGTCAGACATGAAATAGTCCTGATTCCTTTCCTTAGTCTAATAATTCGGACTAATTGACTTCTCACTGTGTGTTTGTGCTAATAAGTTCTTCCTTCACCTGGAAGAGATATGAACATTTACAGACTACTAGTAACTGGCTGATTAGTTATGTCAGTCAATTTTGCAAATGGTCAATTATTCCGCTTCATATGTTACAAAGAATATAGCAAAACTGTACGTAATGTAATTCTTGCTGTAAGCACTCATGGATATTGTGCATTTGCGTTTTTGCACAGAGTAGTTTATTTCTTTGTCAGAAAGGCAGGTGCTCTTTTTTATGGACGAATTGTTATATTAATTCACGAGTGTTATTGATGATTTGGTGTCTGCTGATGTGTTCTGGGTTTACAAGATACAATGCAATGCAATTATATACAATAATATCTTCAGGGGCTCCAAAAATAAGAATTCAACCCTTTTACTGCCATCTTTTTGATTTTTTTTCCCCATTTCATTTTTCCTCTTGTTTCCCCCCTTCCCTCCCTCCCTCCACGTTTTCACAGGTGTGGGTAGTGAAGTCATTGGAGCTTCTGGTCTGCGTCTGTTGTTAGGTGTGTAAACCACACACAGTGCCGTTCCCCCTGCGCTGTTTGAAAACTGCCCGCTGTCTGCTGCCCCCTCGATGTAAATGGACTTAACTTGATGGGGTGTGTGCCACTAAGGACTGGTCAAACACCTCCAAATATAACTTCAATTTTCTGTTTCTGTTTTCAGAGGAGAAAGCACAAAATTGGGTTAATGTATACTTGAATCAATGAGATATCTTAAATATTTGGAAGCAAATGTTGCTGTTGTCATTGCGCTTCGAGCGGTTTTATTATTGTTTATATTTATTTGATTATAACTAAAATATAAAATTGTGCAGATGTAAGATAGATATAAAATGTGCAGACCCAAAATTTTAATATCAGCCTTTTAGTGCTTTTGATCACAGTGAATTCAACTTGCCGTCTAAAACGTTCACTTCCAACCCTTGTGAACAGTCTGTACAGACATTCCATAGTCTGTTGTTTTAGAACTACAGTCACATTGTACACTGACCCCTAAATATCATTGAATGCATTTAACTGCCTTGCTTTTCTATGTCCACATGACTATAACTTCTTTTTCTTTAAAGTGGTGATGAACCTTTTGCGTCTTCTCTGTTTTGTTTTATCTGTCTGTCTGTCTGTCTCACAATTCTGATCTCTACTGAAAGACTAACAGCTCAAATGTTCTGAAAAGTGCAATGACAATGTTACCTTCTATACTTTCCAAGCAGATCAGGTGACCTACTCTGTTTAGTAAACATGCGTTGATGTGTGTTAAGCCTCTGAGGAAGATAGGGCTCACATTTTTGTGGATATTATGTTATATTAATGTGCCACAGTGTATTCACTGAGCACCAGTTTTATTGTGGTTATGTGAGGAATTTATATACTCTAGTACATCTAGTCTAGTACACTGTAGTACTCTGGACTTTTCAAACGTTTGAGTCTGTGTTGGATGTGGTGCCTGGGGAAAGGAAAAAAAACATAATCCACCATTCCGTTAAATGGCATGTGAAGGAATTTCATAGCTTAGGCTGATGTTCAGTTTGATTCTTGAATTTAATTACTGTTATATAACATGTGCCGGTTGATATGTTTTTTGTCAGAAACTTCAGGTGATCCAACCTTGAAGGCACCTGAGATCCAACCAGCAACAGCAGCTGTCCCTGAGAGTGGTGACAAGCAGTTTAAGAAGGCAAGTCCCTTCCCGTTCCTTGTTGTTTTACTTCTGGCTGTCACAGTTATGGCTGCAAAGGGATTGTAGTCTGTTCCTACAGTTTGCTAAAATTGTGTTGTTTAACTTTCCATTACAATTTTAACCAATCAGCTCATAGGTCTTTTGCTCAGACTATCTGAGCATAAGTCTGGTCTTTGTTGGCTTGCATTTGATTTTAACAAGATTGACAGAGAAGCACTTATGTAGCACTCTACCTTGCCTTGGCCACTTTAGTATTAAAGGGCTTAATACTTTGCTTCTGTTTAATGCCAAACATCTCTGAACTGAAATCAAGCCCTCTGAAGTGATGCATTAGATATCTATTGCTTTCTCTCAGACACTTCCCGTATGCTGTTTATGTTTAAGCATAAAATGATGGTATGCAAAAATAAGCATTTACCTCACTGTCTGCTTTGTTACAGTTGCCCGATCTTTTTTGCCAAGCAGCTTTGGATGCATTTGATGTATTTCACTTCATTCACTTTCATTGTGTATTTGTCTGTCCTCATAAACCATCATGTTAAATGTACTCATTGTCATGCCATTTCCTGCTGTTGAGTGTTGTTATTTTGCTTTACCTACACTGCACAAACTCCTGTTGTGACAAACGCCTATCATTGCTCTTAAATAAACTTTCTGTGCAATGGCAGTTAGGCGCTATGTTAAAAATGACATTGATTGCTTTGGTGGCAAAAATGCAGACCTTGTACAAGATCTCGAGTTATAACAAACAATATGTTCTACTATAACATGCGAGTGATTAAGCAGCTCTTTCTGGGCACCACTGGGCAAAAGCTTTACTTTCCCCAGCTTCAGCAAGCTTGTTTTTCTCACTGCGTAAATCACTCACTCTTATCTGGTCTTGCTCCCTCCCGAAAACAGAGCTTCTTTTAAATCTTTTGAGCTAACTGTCCCTTGAGTGCTTATGAGAGCCTACGCTTTTACAGTTTTAAGAGTATAAAAGTATTAGAATCTTTTTTAGTTTTTTGAAGTCCAGTTGAGCTGGTCAGCAACTGGTCAAGAATTTGGCTTCAGACATGTTTGTTTTAGCTGATTATTAGGATTGACATAGTCATCCCCTGACACTTGTAGAGAGATGCTAGTTGTTGTATCAGTTGCCTAACCTACGATTATGTAGGTTTTACGACATTTAAACAGATCCACAGCTGCTGGGAATAGCTATGCTATCATTCTGTATCTCTGTAGTCACTGTGGACTCTATCTAGAATGTCCTGCCCATGATCAACAGCTTAATTGACTGCTGTCTCCCCCTCTCTCTCACTGTGCCGTCGCTCAGCAGGGGCTTCTTGCCGAACTCATTCTCATTCAGCAGCAGATCCAGCAGCACGAAGAGGAGGTTCGGCGGGCGGCGGCTAACGCGCCACCCCCACCGTCCCAACCCCGCCCCACCCAGGCCCCGAACCCCAGCCCCTCGCGCAAGGTGACGGTCCCCCCTCCCCATCACCTCACCTCAGCTTCTCAAGCCAGTCCTCAAGCAACTCAAGCTGTTCTTTATAGTTCAGTAATTCAACTGCTCAGTATTTGTTCATATTTTCAGCAAATTCCCTAAGAATTATTTTGACATTTTGGAGAACGTTTTTATATGTGCATGATTCTTTGCACAAGGAATTATAATGTTTAATTTGGTTTTCTAGATCCTAAACTGAGTACAGACAATGAATAGCAGGGAAATCAAAGACTGGTGTGAGAACTGCAGCATTTACAGTATTAAAGTTATGGACTGGATATGTAGTGCCGCCTTCTAGGTTTAGGTAGACTGAGACACCCACTCCGCTCAGTCATTTTTATCAATCAGTAGGTGTATTGAATAGCGTGATAAATAGTCAGATAAGATTTAGGCTTTTGAATAGTGTGCCCCTACCAGTATTTGTTTCAACCCAATTGCTGCTACTGACTGACAAAGAGCAACATATGTTTGACCCTGATAAAAAAAAACCATTCATTTTGCTTTTGCCCTGCTATACATGTAGCGTCCTCATGTGTAAGCGAGTGATACTCATTAATACTGTGATTACTGCTGATTCTGAGCTGACCCACTGCAGGCGGCAAAAACCTCTCCCCTTTTTCCATCTCTTTTTCAGTCAGATTTTATTGGGATTCAACCTGCAATGGAACTAACACAGCATTACCTTTCACTGCATGGAGTAATGTGTCTCCCTGCTGCATGGGTTGCAGTGCACTTGGCTGCAAGAGCTTTAGCCATCAGTCTGTAGATGTAGGCAGCCTAACAAGATACAGTACTGTGCAAAAGTCAGAGACCACACTTTCTTTCTTTCATTTAATTTCCACTCAAAATGACTATTGTGTCAGAGAGCAGTAAACATATTTAACAGAATATTACACAAAAGCCTTTAACACAAGGATTAACATAAAATCTGTCAATATTTGATATCATAACATCGAAATTGGATATCTGAGATGTGGTGTAAGATTTTCTGGACTGATGTGTTTAAATTTGTAATTGAGATTACGTAGTGTGAGAAGCAGAAAATGCAACCGACTTCTGGGACTGAACTTTGGAGGTGTTTACAAGAAACATGGAAAAGTATCCCTGCAGATTTCCTTGAGAAACTTAAAGCAGGTCTCTTCAAGAGAGTGGAAGCTGTGATAAAGGTGATGAGTGGATACCACAAATACTGAAAATACGGATATTGTATTTAGTTATTGAGGCTTTTGTGAAATTTTCTATGATATGTTTCATGCCTTTTTCTTGATGGCTTGTACTTAATGGTTGTTTTGACTGGAAATTGTATAAATGAGGGATGGTCTTTGAGTTCTATGACAGTTTTATTCAAGAGACAAAACATCACCTGCCATCCATGTCATATGTACATATATGTACTGTGTTTATCTTGTGTCAGTCTTCCCCTCAGCCCTAATCATTCAGTGCTTTGTAATTGCCCTCCTGTCTCTGGTGTGCTGTCCTACTCCAGAAATTCATTGCAGGTGTGGAGAATGATTTTGCTGATTCGTTATTGATAATTCTACCATCTTTTGCAGGGCTTCTTTTCTTTGTCTCTTGCAATGTGATGATTCAGCCCAGTGATTAATGCAGACTGAGAATGAAGGACTAAATGGAATCAATGTTTCTTCTTCCTGCATTAACTTGACTTTGCTCCACTGCCTATTGGTGTTCATTGCATGAGATTTTGTATTATTATTTTTTTATTTTTTTGGTTTTGTTTGCAAAAGAGTGATTCTTACAGGGTTAGAAAGGGAGGTACAGCAGTAGTCCATTTAAAAAGTGAGGGTCACATGTTCTGTAACACTGTTTCTGTATATCTGTAGTCATCAGATAAAGAAAGAGTTGACCAACTTCAAGAGGAGCTTCTTCGTACCCAGGTTTGTTTTCTTTCTTTCTTCAGACTATTTCCCGTATCAGTACATGTATTGCATGAATGCTATCAGTCATTTCATTTAATCCATAAACTTTAATGACAGTGAAATTGTGTTTTTCTCAGTTGAAGTACCAGCGGATGCTGGAACGTCTGGAGAAGGAGAATAAGGAGCTGAGAAAAGTGGTGCTGCAGAAGGATGACAAAGGAATTCATCAGAGGAAAGTCAAGGTCAGCACAGATGCTCAGTTACTGATAACTATCAATGAACAGTCATAGTTTGTGCATGTTTTACTGTTCGCTGTACTGACCCAATGACTTCTGATGGTCATGGTGACTGACTTGAATTTTGCAGAAATCTTTGATTGACATGTACTCTGAAGTCCTGGACATCCTCTCAGATTATGATTCCAACTACAATACCCAAGATCACCTGCCAAGGGTTAGTCCTCCTCATGGTCCGCCTTTCTGTTTCCCTTCTATCATATATTGAAAATCAGACAATCAATACATACAATTGCAACTCTGAATGCCAGTCTTTCCTAAGCCAGATCTGTTTTAAACCCTCTTTTGTAGGTGGTGGTAGTAGGAGATCAGAGCGCGGGAAAGACCAGTGTGTTGGAAATGATCGCCCAGGCTAGAATCTTCCCTCGTGGCTCAGGAGAGATGATGACCCGTTCACCTGTCAAAGTAAGTAAAATGACCTTCAAAATCCACTTATTCTGATGGAGAGATTATATAATATTAAAGGTATGCAACTAAAAAGGGCTTAAATCCAGAAAGCCATTAGTGGACCATCAATGTGCATTCTGTTAAGATGATTATGAGGACAAAATATATGCTGTGTTCTACTGTAGGTCACGCTCAGTGAAGGCCCTCATCACGTAGCCATGTTCAAAGACAGCACTCGTGAGTTTGACCTGGGGAAAGAGGAGGATGTAAGTTTCTTGTAGTGTGTGATATGCTGAAAGTTGTTGTTCTCCACCCTAGTGAATTACTTCTAATTACCTCACCTCAACAAGAGCAAACAAGTTGGAATAATGTGTTTCTCATTTAGCTTGCAGCACTGAGACGTGAGATTGAGCTGAGGATGAGGAAGAGCGTGAAGGAAGGTCAGACAGTCAGCCCTGAGGTAAGCCTAGAGATGCTATCAGAAACACACAGGCATGTACGCTGTTTTTCTTTTTGGACCAATTCTGAATTTCTATTAAATTTCAATCATTCCTGTTTTTGTAGACCATCTCTCTAAGTGTAAAAGGCCCAGGCATCCAGAGAATGGTTCTAGTGGACTTACCAGGAGTAATCAGTGTAAGTTCTAATATTGTGTGTTTGTGTGTGTTTAAATGTGAGTATATGTAAGTAAACTGTACAAGCATGCTGTACTTAAGTCCCAGAGAATGTAGGGTAGAAGGAAAAAAGTAATGAAATATGATGGTGATTGGTGAGGGTTAAGCTTATGCAAGCTTTACCCAAGACTAGGACTGCCCAGTTTATATTGAAAGGGAAGATTCTGGCACATACAGTACTCTGCCAAAGTCACAGAATATTCTTAATTTAATTTCTAGTCAGAATGGCCATTAAGAACAAGTTATTCATTTTTCAGCACTGTGACAAAAGCAGACAGCATATATTCAGCAGAAAGTTACACAGAAGCCTCAACAACTAAATATCACAAATCACATTTTCAGTATTTAGTGTTTCCACCTTTTGGCTTTATTATAGTTTTCATTCTTTCAGTTTTTCAAAGAAATTTTGGGGATATACTTCCCTATAGGCAAAGTTCTGTCTTAGAAAGTGGTTTCATTTTCTGCTTCTCACCTTTTAAGTAATACCAAACAGTTCAGTGATGTTGAGGTCTGGACTCTGGGGTGACCAGTCCATTGTTTTGAGAAAACGAGCAGCTTCTTTGTTTGATTTCCAAATTTTCTTCTTTTCTTGTCTGTTTTCTTTTCTCAGTAATGACTTCTTGAGCTACACGTCATGTCAGACACATAGTGTTGAGTTGTCTTCTCACGGTAGAAGTGAAAGTAGAGCTTAATGTTGTCCTGTGAAAGTTGAAAGCTTTAAATACTGTATCTGATTGTGACAGTGTTGGTGGTCTACCAGGTCTTACACGGAAATGTGGGTCAGTTTTAGAAACACTTACTTTTTTCACTTATTTTCCTTCCCTTGAAAAAAAATGTATACTTAATGGCAGTTTTTACTGAAAATTAAATAAATTTAGAAAATTCTCTGACTTTCGTAGGGTATTGTACATGTAGACAATCATCAGTTCTTTATAGGGCCTACTTTTTACATGCACAAGACCAGCATGAAACTGATTAGAAAACAATTGTTGATTTAGGTTTCCTTTCTCAAAGTAGAATTCGTATTTTAAAAAGAGTTTAAAACATTTATTTATTCATTCATTTATTTATTCATGTATTTATTTACTTGAATCATATCTCTGTGTTGTAGACTGTGACCACGGTATGGCTTCGGACACTAAGGAGACGATCTTCAGCATCAGTAAAGCGTACATGCAAAACCCAAATGCTATCATCCTCTGCATTCAGGGTGAGCTCTCAACCCCTCAACTGCACCTTCATTACATACAGAACAATGTGTACATCAGTCGTTATGGAGCCCCCTCTCTGTTTTTTTCACTTGTCTGTTTCAGATGGCTCAGTAGATGCAGAGCGCAGTATAGTCACTGATCTGGTCAGTCAGATGGACCCACAGGGCAAAAGGACCATTTTTGTTCTGACTAAAGTGGACCTAGCAGAAAAGAACCTAGCTAGTCCAAGCAGAGTGAGTTGTTCGCTGTTGTGTGATGTATTTTTTTATACATATATTAGGCATGTTATTCACTGTTTTAGCCACTAGATGGAGCTGTGTTATTACTTTAGGTGCTTGTGCTGAGACTTTTGTACGTTCTAAAGGGAGAAGAATCTCTAGTGTAATCTCTAATCCACAGTGCAATAAATTACAAGTTTGCAGTTAAGATGTTTCAGTTCTTTTCTGCTTTTTTGTGTAGATCCAGCAAATAATTGAGGGCAAGCTGTTCCCAATGAAGGCTCTGGGCTACTTCGCTGTCGTGACTGGCAAAGGTAAACTTAAAAGAAAAGATTAATTTCTGGGTATTGTTTTGAATAGTACCTGTTGAGTTGTCTTATTTCTTTCGCTAGGCAGCAGTAGTGAAAGCATAGAGTCCATCAAGGATTATGAAGAGGATTTCTTTCAAAACTCTAGATTGCTAAGGTGGGACTCTTAGCATTAATTCTGATTTTTAATTCTGAATTAATTTGCATGCTTTCTGGTTATGTGTTAGTTTGTCACTAAATAATGTGTGCTTGAACTTGTGCAGGGAAGGCATGCTGAAGGCCCACCAAGTGACTACAAAGAACCTGAGTCTGGCCGTGTCTGACTGTTTCTGGAAAATGGTACGAGAATCAGTGGAACAGCAAGCAGATGCATTCAAAGGTAAGGGGAACTCAGCTGTCATTTTTACATCCTGCACTTTTTAGTGTGATGTACCTGTACGGTCAGACTGCTGCTTTATTAAACCTCTCAAAAACAAGCTGGTTCTCTGCACTTGTTTAGCTCCCCTATTCTCATCTCTGAATTCAGCTTTCTGAATAAGACCCTGATTTTCTGGGTTGTTGTGTGAGATGGCATAGGCGTCAACAGTCTAGAGTCCTAGCTGAAAAATCTTAATAGAAGCCAAAACAGCAGCATGACAAACACTTACCTGTTAAACCAAACTCGGCATCAGAATCTCCCAGCCACGAGTTCACTTCTGTTCCCCCTAGAGCACCCAGACCCAATTCAGCACGTAGCACAAGCTCCTACCTACCAATTAACCGGCCACTCCCGTTAACGGCGTGCTGCTAGATTTATTGCCTGACGTGGGATGCTTCTCGACCCTTTGTGTGGGCAATCGATTGCAGCCTCTGCGCTGGGGGCCAGCCCGATAACCGTGGCAATTAGCGTCATCTCCATTGTGTGGCCGAGACAGCTGGCCCGTGTGTTCTGGGGACAGGGGGCCCCCAGGGGCCACTGGGACGCTGATACAGAGCACGCCCAGCTCCAGGTGCATTGATCATGGCCACGGTACTAGATCTTGAGGCCCCCAGGGATGAGGTAGTATAGAGGGCATGCTTAGGGAGAAAGTTTTAGATGTAGTTTCTACTTGCTTTGATGAATTTGGGTACCTATTCTGTTTTTGCACTGGTGATCAAAAGACATATGGCTCAGTAGTTTTGCATGCACTATTTCTGTTGTTTTATGGCTAGAACATTACGTTGTTTTATGGCCAGACAACATTTAGGCTAGAATTCCACAAATTTTGAGGATTTTTAGAAATTCTAAGTGAATTGTGTGTATGTGTTGTAAAAACTAATTGGTACTTTAGTCCAACAAAGTTAATGTTTGAAAATTACAATACTGGCACACAAAGGTCAGAGAGAATGTACACTTTGAACTTAAGAGTTCATCAGAAGTATACTTAAACAAACTTGTTTCCCTTCACTGAACAGCATCTCGCTTCAACCTGGAGACAGAGTGGAAGAATAACTATCCGCGGTTAAGAGAGCTTGACAGGGTAAGGAGCAGAGCATGATACATGCACGCTGATTAGTGTCTGAGTCATGTCAGTCCTGTTCTACAGAAGCAACAGCCTTACCATTTTAATGGTTCTCTTATATTCAGCTACTGTTGTCGAATATGTTGTTAACTATAGGTAATGATGCAACACCAAACAGAGCTTAAATTGAAGGAAAATATGATCTGATTTTCTGTTCAACAGAATGAGCTCTTTGAAAAGGCCAAGAACGAGATCTTGGATGAGGTAATCAGCCTGAGCCAAGTTACACCGAAACACTGGCAAGTTCTTTCTCTTATTTGCCTTATCTTTTTATTTATTTATTTATTTATTTATTTTACTGTGTTCTAAATGTACATATGAGTAGTATCCACCTCCTAGTAATTCAAACTCATAGTAAAGCTAAATGTATGCACCGCTGCATCAATTTCTGCAAACTTCCTCCAATTATGGCACAGTTTTGCTTCTATTTCATATTGTTGTCTTAGAAATCACCTAGCCCTCCATGACTTTACCTGGGGATTCACTCAACCTAAAGTCAGGATGTGTAGCTGCTAGCAGTGCGTGGAGTTTTAACCCCAAAACCCTAAGGAGCAGGCGGAATGGAATAGATCAGATGTTTGCAGAGGGCCCCAGCGAGCGCCATCAGCCTCTCAGATCAATGCTATGATGAATAGCTAGAGGGTGGCTTCTCTTGGCCGCTCTAGTTGGCGGTATTGGAGATATGTGTATTGATATGCTGTAGTCGAACAAAGCAAACAGGAAGCTATGAAATATGAGCAGTCCTTTATGATAAACGAGTGGGGTCATCAGCCACAGAATCTCTCCTGTTTGTTTCATTGTCAAAACACTCGCAGTCAAAACATGTTTGAAATGTGTGATGAATATCATATATCATTTTTCCTTACCTGATTGATGTAGTGAAAAGGTTTTCTTGTTGTCATAGTTGATGCAAGCCTTTCAACTAATGAACATCTCCATTTAATTTGAAGGGACGTATTCTCTAGTAAAAACGTAAATTTGAATTTCCTCTCTTGTGGATAATGTAGGGAGTCCATCTTGCAAAAGAAGCTGTGGGAAAGAGTGTCCACACATGTTATTGAGAACATCTACCTGCCTGCTGCTCAGACCATGAACTCGGGCACCTTCAACACCACAGTAGATATAAAGCTCAAGCAGTGGACAGACAAGCAGCTGCCACACAAAGCGCTGGAGGTAATGTAACCAACTGCCATCAGTGTTGACTTTATTCAGCAAGTTTTTGTTGGTATTCTGAATGTGTAGAATGAAGAATATTCTTTTGGTCTTTCAAAGTATTAGAAGCTCCATAATTTATTTCAAATGTATATCCATGTCTGAATTTTATCAAGTTATTATATACTATTATATGGTAAACTACTTGTGTTAATCACTATGGCAAGCATGAAGCCCCTTTCTGCAGGCCTCTTAGTGGCCATTCCGCCAGAAGAATGGAAATTGAGTCATATGTTTAATTAATATAGTCCAATCAAATATTCTCTGTCATCAGGTTAACTAGGACATTGTTGGCTGTCTGTGTGTTAAATGTTGTTAGCAATGCTAGCAAGCATTGATGGGGTGAAAGGAGAGGGGTGAGAACCCCTTGCTGTGAAAAGTCATGAGGGTAGCAAGTTAGAATATCGGTAGTATCACAAAGTCTTGATTGTCTAACCAGCTCCAGACAATTTAAAATTATACACTGTATTTATTTCATTTCTCTTTTCTCTTCTTGTGCAGGTTGCCTGGGAGACATTGCAGGAAGAGTTTGCCCGTTTCATGGCAGAGTACAAGGGGAAAGATCAGGATGACATATTTGACAAGCTCAAAGAAGCAGTCAAAGATGAGAGCATTAAGCGGCATAAGTGGAATGAAATGGCCATGGACAGCTTGGTAAACACTTGATACTACTTGTTTACCTGTCCTTTTTAGTGGTTTAGTCCTGCTTGACTTGATTATGAGTTGTTTGAAAGAGTTCCAATACTTCATGTAGTTTTTGTGTGTTTGATGTAGTGGTGCGTGATATGACTAAAATACAACACCACAATACCTCAAGACATTTCTTGATACACACTATGCATCACAATATTTTTTGATATTTTCTAAGATGGAAGAGACAGAAAAGAACTAGTGGTGCCACATCAAAACATATTATCAAAAGCTTTAAAAACGGTGCTACAAAATGTTTCTAATAAACCTTGTTCATTTCTTATTTTCAATACTAACTAAAAGAAATAACTCCACTTCTCCTTCGATGCAGAGGGTGATCCAGCACAATGCTCTCGAGGATCGCTCCATCACAGACAAACCTCAGTGGGATGCTGCTATCCAGTTCATGGAGGAGACGCTGCAGTCTCGCCTTAAAGACAGTGCGTTCCACATTTTCCAGCTGGCTCACTCAGCCACATGCATAAGACATTTCTTGCTTTATTTTCTGTGAACTGCTCTCACTTGTTCTTTGTTTTGTCACCCTTATTTCCCTCTACGAATGTTCTCTCTTAGCCGAGTCAGTAATATCAGATATGGTAGGGCCAGACTGGAAGCAGAGATGGATGAGTTGGACGAAACGCACGCCAGAACAGGTTAGAAAGTCTTCCCCCATTGTCAGCACCTCGGTAGAGCTAGTTTTATTGCTGTATTTAACAAAACAGATGTTAATAGTATGAATGCACTCATTCTCACAGCACATCCGCAACGAAACCAAAAATGAGCTGGAACGTCTACTGAAGCTTCATGAGGACCACACTGCTTATCTGGCCAACGATGAGGTCACCACTGTCCGCAAGAACCTGGAGGCCCGAGGGGTCGAGGTGGACCCTGTGCTGGTCAGTGAGTCCCAGTCACAGAAAACCTGAATTTTCTGTTATACCTTATACATTTGTGTTGTTTAGACCTGATATATGTAGATTAAGTAGTAAAAAGCTGGATATATTGCTTAAATATGTTTGATTCCTTTCTTGCTTTAGATCAAGGACACATGGCACCAACTTTACCGACGTCACTTTCTGCAGAAGGCCTTGTTTCACTGTAACCTTTGCCGACGAGGCTTTTACTATTATCAGAGACACTTCGTAGACTCAGAGGTAGGGATAGAAGCCTTGTATTAATATTCTACAATGCTATTGATTTGCCAAAATATTACTGAGTATCCTGAACCAGAATTATTCTAAACACTATACCATAAAACTATGGTTTTTCCTTCTTTTCTAGCTTGAGTGCAATGATGTCGTTTTGTTCTGGAGGATCCAGAGGATGTTGGGCATCACAGCAAACACTCTCCGACAACAACTCACCAATACAGAGGGTACGTCTGAGGAATTGGCACTCAGCTATAAGCTTGAAGGCTGGAGTTCAGAGCTGAGTGTCTGAGTGGTCTTAGAGCAGGTTTGCTTTTTTCCATATGATGGTTCATCATAGCCTATAGATGTTTAGCGGTCTCTGGTTTGCTTTTGTTGACTCCTCAGTGCGGCGCTTGGAGAAGAATGTGAAAGAGGTGCTGGAAGACTTTGGTGAGGACACTGAGAAAAAAGTGCAGCTGATCACTGGCAGGAGAGTTCAGCTAGCTGAAGACCTCAGTAAGTATATTACAGCATCTCACATAATTAATCATCCTTGTGCCCAAAAGCAGTTTCCAAAAGAACTTACATTTTTCAAAAGGTAATAAGTCATATGTCAATCTAGGTCTACAGTCTTAAGCCTTGGGTGCGCAACATGCCTTTTAAAGTCTTCCAGAAAGACTGAGACATCTCACTCTTTCCCACTGAGTTTTTCCACAAGTATTTAGGTGTGAGTTGTGGATGTGAAGATGTGATCAGTGTGATAGTTTGCGTTTTTTAATGTACATGCACTTAACTGTGCTTGTGCTTTTAACTCAGTTCATTAAAAAGCTTTGCTACATATTGACTGTCTCTTCGCCATGTTTCATTATTTACTTGCTCTATTTACTTACTCCATGTGCTCAGTTATCATTGGCTGTTGAAGAAATCAATTCAGGTTGAGTAGTTGACCAGAATACATTGCTAAATTTCGCCTAGTGTCGGATCTAAACAAACATGCTTGATATTCTCTGACTGGTCTGAAACTCGGTTGGGAGGCAAAAAATCAGAGTTTGTGCCCCAAGCATACTATTTGATTTCTGTCGTGTAGCGTAACCCTGGTCTTAGTCTGAGAAGTCTAATGATACTTCCTCTGTCCTTACACTACATCCTTAACATGTGTGTTGCATGTGTGCCACTAGAGGGCAATGATGTTCTGAAAAACAAAGTTGTAGTCATTTGCAGCAGATGATGTCAGATTTCACTGTTGGTTGTGGTTTGGCTTTCATATTGTATGACAGATTATGAAGTTACAGCAGGACATGCACCTGCATACTGATTTCTTTTAGTGTTCCTAACTTTGAAAAGTTAGTGTATTTTCCCATGTGATTTTAGACATTTTCTGTCTGTCTAGTAATCATGAAATTTTAACACCATGTAAATGGCTGTCATTTATTTATACATTTTTTTATATATATGTATATATATATATATATATATAGTGTATGTGTATATATATATATATATATATATATATATATATATATATACATATATAATGCTGTCTGAAGAAAACCTTGTATCTCCGTTTTTGTAGTTTTTCAGTTTTTGACATAATTCTGGTTCCATTGACTTACATTAAAAATAAAGCACTTTTTTCCCTTCTCCTGTAAAGTTACCATTTTGGAGATATAAGGTTTTGTTCGTACTATATTCTTCCCCCTGTTGAGGCTTGAGTGCTTAATTGCCATTCAGAGTAGGGAAAGTGAGTGAGTGAGGGAGAGATATCCTGGCTAAACGCTGCCTGCTGCCCGTAATGTCCATAGCCTTGGTTACTGTTAAACAGCCTGTTGATTAGAGCAGCAATTTACAGAGGCAACGCAGACATGCCCAGACTTGAGGACACGCATACAAGCGCCCCTGACTAGCCAAGCGCCGTTATTACTATGATAACAGAGAGCAAGGTAATGACGCCGCCGCCCAAATTAGTGTGTGCCCAGAGACAGTAAAGACACAGGCAAAGAGCTTCTCTGCTCACGCCTGTGTTTGGGTCGTAAAGAGTGACTCTCTCTTCAGTGATGAATTGCCTGGCTGCTGGAGAATGGCCCATTGTTAAAAGATATCTCCGAGCATGCGAAGGAAAGGAGAGCTCGCTGTTTTACTGAAGAAGTGCTCTCTTTTTCAGGCAGGTTAGCCAAGAAACATAACAGTGGGCAGGCCAGGGCTTTAGCGCAGAGGCTGCAGCGGGACAGTAATGCTGCTTTCTTATTTGTGGGTTTCACAGCTGGCCCAGTTATTCAGTCAGTTCAGCTGCTGAGATGCTTGCTGTTTTCTTTTAAAACAGAATGATCCTTCACTTGCACTACCATTCAAAAGTTGGGAATACATATTTTTTAATAATATAAACTCCTTTTTGTTGCAGATACATGTGTAAAATGATGGCAATATGTTTCTAGTATTGTGCAGCTTCAAGTTTCAAATAATTGACTTTTCCTTTAGACATCTACAAAGTTTATCCTGTTAAAGAAAAAAGAGAAACTTTTGATGCGTCCAGAAGGATGAACAGAGGTGTAGTTGTGGTCAAATAACTGAGAAAGCTGTATAGCTTCCAGAAAAAAGTTTGGGTACAAGTAAGTAATCTAGAATGCCTCGTATTTCAGAAGTGGTGATCAAGAATACTTGAAATACTGAACAAAACCTATACAAACATATCCAATATTTAAATTAATATTTAATAAGTTGTTAATTTAAATTATTAAGATGGAATGAAAGTAATATTTAATGTTTAAACGGTAGTACAAGTCTGGTCTTATTACACAAATTAAAATGTTTCATGTTTGACAGTACTTTTTTTCAGCTAATAAACATTTTAAACAACTGTTAAATAAATTACTGTTTTTAACTAGTAGGTCAGTAATGTAGTTCTTTGTGTTCCATGATTGTTTGGTGGTTCGCAAAAAACAAACTGATGCAGCAGTTAAGAGGCAAAAAAACAAAACAAAACGGTACTAGTGGAAACTGGGCAAACAAAGATGTGCTGGCCAACCCAGTGGTCCACCTGTACGGTCCTTAAGTGTCATTTCTTGGACCCAGCTGAATTCAAAATCACAGGATGTTGGCCTGTTCTGGCACCGTGGGCACATCTAGTGGTCATTGTGTGTCCTTGGCTCTGCACTGCTCTCCTCCGCTGCTCGGCAGTAGGTGAAGCTTAGAGTGGATTCCTGTGCTTTAAGGCGTGACGTTGCCCAGCGGACAGTCAACACTTAGCAGAAAACACCAGGTTGACCTCCCAAGAAGTGGCCAGTATGCTAATAGAGACATGCTGGGGCATGTGCTTGTGCATCGCTGCACTTGTAGTTGCTAACACACAAGGAACATGCTCGCCCTCTTTAGTCTGCGTTTAGAAAAGGGAGCTGACTGTGGCTCACTGGCTTCTAATGACCAGTAATAATGATGCTTCTAGACCGGACTAGTTTGGGTTGAGTCTGGACCATGCTAAATGCTTCAGGTTCTGGTTGAGCAGAATGGTTTTGTTGAGCCTTATACACAAACAGCCAGTTTATGTGACATTTTGTTTATTGATTGTCGGTTTTAGGTAAAACTTGCGAAGTGGCACTGCTAATGAAGTCTGAGAAACACTTTTGTCTCTTCATCACTCTTAATAATTCCTACTATGCCAGGACATCCTTTGTTTTTTGTTTTTTTTTCGTGCTGGCTGACTTCATTTCTCTGTGATCCTGAGGGCATTGGAGCTGAAAAGTTTGGAGAGCTGCCTAGCTTCCTCTGGTGTGCTCTTCAGAAAACAGGGAGGAATTCCTGGGCCTGCCTGGCCTTGCTGCCTTTCCTGCACAAGGTGGCATCGTGTTCTGTGGGTTTCTGCTGCTTTTGATGTGGGATGTGGGGTGGTGTGCTACAGCTGAGCTGACCTGTCTTCCCCTCTCATGGTTCAGAACAGCCACACTCTTTATTTAACATCCTCTAAAACAGCAGTCTAAACAGTAGTAGAAAACAAAGGTAGGGCTATATTGACTGTATTTTAGTAATCATGTAATATACCAATAATTTTATCAAACAAATTAAATAAAAATTAAATTAAAAATTTAAATGAACTGAAGAGTAACAAACTGTTGTAGTAGGGCTGTACAATGGATCATATTGTCTTGAATTATATGTCAGTATCTTTGTTTTGTTGTATGGTGAATAGCATATTAGCTTTTGAATAGTGTTAACTTGCGGCTAATATATTAGCCAGTGGCTAAGATTAGGTTGGGATATATTAAGCACAGTTTTGGTTTCAGATATTATACTTTTATTGAGTGCTCTTATAAACTGAAAATGGAAACATCAACATGTGGACATAAAGCACAGTTTTCCACTGCTGTGGAAAAAGGTATTGAATCGAGATACCCTTATATAGTATTTATTCAAATTATGAATCTTGTGTCTCATTATACCACTGGTTCTTAGTCTTTCACTGATTCCAAAATGCTTCATTATGAAAAGATAAGCCAGGAGGTTGCTGTATTTTGAAAGGTCTTTCTAAATCAGGGAGTAGAGAGAGGGCAAATCAAGTCAGACTTTTTTGGAGATGTAATGACCTTGGCACTCACTCTTTTTCACAGCTATCGAGGTTTGATCCAATTTTCAGCTCCTGTCATGTCATTAGGTGACTGGCAATTAAGACAAGCTTCTCCCAAATGCCAGTTTTTTTTTGGGGCTGATTTCGAGTGTTTTTTTGAAGTTGAAAAGTCGGAGGAGCCCATTACTTCAGGGCCGAAGGCTCACTGAGTGTCTTGCTCCAGTAGACACAGATGAAGCCGGGATGGAGGCTGTCTTGGAATGCGTTGAGCCCACAAAATTGGGCAGTTTGGGCCATGTCGTGTCTTATCTCACTTCAGATTGAATTGAGTATTCATTCTTAAGTTCTGGAACAAGACGTTAGGTTTGAAAAAGTAGAATTTCTCTTTAGTTGGTTTTACTGTGAGAGACGTCTGCCACGCGTTGCCCACCCTGCAAGACCTGACAAGAGAGAATTCCATAATCCAGCAGTGTTGGGGTGGGAAAGAGGGGGTCTGAATCTTTCTGGCTTGGGTAATCATCTATGAGCTGTTGTTACACGCTCCCTGTTCATTTTTTTCCAAGGTGGGCTGGAAAAAGTGATGGCCCCCTTCATAAAGTGAAAGATGTATGGACAGGAGTGGACAGCCTGAGGCTGGGCCAAGGGGTCAAGCACAGCGGCACACCCACACACAGTCGCGCACACACACACACACACACAGCAGGCTGTGAAGGCTGTTCTTTCCACAGGTGCAGGGAGCTGCGCATGTGTGTGTGTGTGTGTGTGTGTGTGTGTGTGTGTGTGTGTGTATGACCCCTCTCTCACCTGTCTGCCTGTTTGAAGAGGAGCAGAGGGGGAGGATGGGGGCACTTCCCTTAACAAAGAGAAAAATTCACCCCCTGCGGCTCAGTCTGGTGTTAAGAACGATTTACCCTTACTCGCAGGCAGGTAGAGAACTGCTCTAGTTTCACACAAGGGATTG